TGCTCTCAGTGGCTTGTTTGGTTGATCGGTTGACCAATTGCCATCCCGTTAACGACTAACACGTCCTTCTGCGTCTCAGTGGTACCCTATGAGGCTCCACCGATCAAAAAGACGGACGGTGATATTTCTGGTACGCTTTTTCGTCAATACCTATTGCAGATTACGGCACCTATAGTCCATATCTGAAGAGGTATTCCACGGTTGTCGTCTTTGACTAACACTTTGCCGCAGGTACCATTGCAAGTACCATGCCAATGGCTGCTGTAAGTTCCATCTCAATCCTGCCTAGGCAGCTCGGTCTATACAGCTGTGCTAACCGTTGTAATAACTAGATGTTCACTCGAAACAGGCATGTGTAACCCAGCATGCTGTTTCTTCAAGGAAGTTCAGGCCTTATCCGGGGAACTAACTAATGCGAATGCTCTTGTTCCGTGGTTACAGGATGATCGGGTGGTACGTGCTCATCCTCTCTACCATATACACACATATCCAGTGATCCTCTAGGGCCTTGTCTCCCTCCTCCTCCTCCTCCTCCTCCTTCTCTTTTCCTCCCTTAGATACAAGCCGTTACTACGGCTGCAGTTAATGTTACACTCCGGAGTGATAGCTAACATCACCTAGGTCCTCCCTTGTCTTCACCCTCCAGACATGGCTAGCGGAAAGCGAAGACCAAAGAAAGGCATCTACCACTCCCGCATACATGTCCGTTTTCATGTCAGGTACGTCATACTTCCCCTTTTTCTGAAATATATGTTTTGTATTGTATATTAACCATTCATTCAGCAATGGCGGTCGTTGTGGTATGTACGCCTCCATGCCGCTCATCCTATGATTAGTGGTATACAGATAACTTGAGGCACATACTGACTGTTTCTCCCCTCAGACGTATATGCCTCTCTTCCTGCCACCACCCCAGGCTGCCAACAAAGCTCCTCCTGCACCGGCTTCTTAAGGGCTGGCCGTGTTTATACCATTCCATAAATTATAATGTACCATTCTTTTGAGTCGGTTCGCGTATGAAATGATCCTGTATAAACACCTCGCGCGTTGATGATGTCGTTACCAAAAATTTCTAAGCAGTTAGCTATTCTGTTATCCCTGTCTAGTGGCCTTCAGATATGCAGGTCATACTCAGTAACGATGGCAACATCCCGACTTTGGCCCAAGCTCCTGAACATCACAGAAAAGCGAAGAAAAAGAAAAGGAGACCACAGCAAGGCAGAGAGCTAGTTAGTTGATTCACCCGACTGTCTGGTACAGAGTCAATCCCCCTTTAGAAGTCATCGCCTTAGCTGAAATAATTATAGGTCTTTGGCTTGCGCTTAGACTTGCCTCTAGCTCCCGTGGGCCCTCAGTTCAGTCCAGCCAGCTCGGTGCCGTCCAATAACGGCCAACCTACCCGGGAGCCCTGGCCCCAGCCCTGATCTAGTCCCAGACAGCCCGGGAAAACTTTTATCCACTTCTCGACCTACCTAACGTCGTGACTGTGGATCAACATCAAGAGACAGATACGATTCGCGGCCGGAGCCCAGCATCGAGAGAAATTGACAGGAAAGCTCAGATATGGACTGAGAATGTGTGTTTCAATTACCAGGAACCCGTGGTCAGTCAACAACTCAGAATTATGGCTCGTTCGACTCAAACAAGGCGGATGGTGCCCAGCAACAAGTTCTGTTATAAATGGGCCTATTAGAGTAGAGAACTGGGGGATACGACTGCCACCCGGGAACCAGAGTCTCCAATCCATTACTACATGTGGGGCTCCCGTCTCTGCACTGATGGATGCCAATCAGTTGCTTCCTCGCCAGTTATCGAGTAACTTGTCAACAAATTAGCTTGATGGGTCATGACTGCAAACAGAGCTGCAACCTTTACGCAGCATCAACGGCTCATATCACCCTATCAGCACCTTTCCAGGCCATAGGGCAATGTTATGGACCAAGGTGATAATTGTATATCTTGTTTTGATGGCTTCACCACATCAAATCCCGGGTTTGTCGATCTGACCAGAACTCATGTGCCCCCATGGCATATACCTACCACATTCTAGGCCAGGGGTTATATAGTACGATCTACTTTGCCTAGGGCGTGGTTTCAAGAAAAAAGTGTGCCGTTATGGAGTACGGCTTTGGAGATATATCTTCCCCGATGGCTGCGATGGCTGGACTGAATCCGTCCCATATAACCAAAATTGGAGGGGAAAAGGCCCTATGCTCCTCAATTCAGTATTATACGTATGGAATATCTAGCAGTGACGGCCTCTAACAAAACATTCATCTATTCGACATGTTGGATATTTTATGCAACATCATCGGCATCTTCCTTTCTCACATGGGTTTATTCTCCTGTCGAGTCTGGGCACTGTTGGCTATTATTCCTTATGCGCATATACTTCATTCCGTCTCCGCAACCTTAAAATATCCCGCATGATCGGAATAATTAGCCTATGGTCAATAATCGGGCTCTCATCGGTAGGGGATTAAAAGCCCCTGATTGCTGCGCTCCTTCGCTGGGGAATATGGATTCACGAACTCAATTATCAGCCCCGAGTGGGTATATCCAGCTGCTCTTCTGCTCGCTGTATCCTGTGCGCATCATATTCTGCCGTAGCACTCCCTACTGTGCAGACATCTAAACATTAGCACACTTCCTCGTCCTCAAGACATGAGATTTGCCCAAAATCCTATCTTCTGGGTTTTATCGATAACTAGTTAAGGGAAAAAAAAAAGAAAGAAAGAAAGAAAACAGAAACGAAAGAAGAAACTGTCATGACCGCAGGGAGTATCAAAGCCTGAAAGCAATCTTCAGCCACCAAAGCACTTGACTCGTTCTTCCTCCTCCGCATGCCTAGTTCGAGGATAGATTGATAGCCAGGGCGCACATAAAATGGCGGAGCTAGACTCCAGACAGAAGCTAAATCCAAAGCAATCTCGCTCCTGATCAAATGATATGGAGAATCTCTCACGCACGCTCACCTTCCTTCATCCTCGCCTTGAGCGTGGCTTTGGCCATGTAACATTTCTCAGTGTTCTGGCTCTTTTCAGTTATCATATTCAGGATGGAAGTCTGCAGCATTGAGTAGTTACTTCATATTAGATGGCTGAATCGCCATTCATTCCATATGAAGGAATGCTCCGTTGTGGTGCTTGAAGTGTACGGGATATATACGGTAACTATGCGAAGCACTTCTCCGTCACTGTCCTCACCAATCCACGACAGCATCTGGCAGCAGGGAGTGTTCTCTCGAGAGAACTATCCAGATACTGTGTCGCTATAGTGCGTGGGATCCGGGCCGCTAATTACGACACAAGCTACTAGTTATCGAGCCCACCCAGAAAATGAAGCGGAATTTTTATTTTTATTTTTTTTTTTCTTTTTTTATTTTTTTCTTTGGCAGTGGCGGCTAAGGGTGAAGGGACTGCTCCATACTTATTATTTGACCCATTACCATGCGTCATGCATGTTCCCAGTCAATTGAGGTGCCCCTTTGGCTCCGGAAGCTCGATAACGACAAATGAAGCACACGACCTCCCTTAATGCCAGGTGCACGCTTCCTGAGGTGTCTTCCTGCCACAACAACCACACACCAATGGGCATCACAATGGGCAATCAATGCACTATGTTTAACAAAGCCTTGGGGCCGTGGCAACTCCCGAGGGCTACGACACTGTCTCCTTTGGAGATCTTCTTTGGACGACGTACTCCGTACTCCGTATCGTGCGTTCAATAGAATAACCTGACTGTTTGCAACCAATTAGCTCCCGATCGGCTCATCAGAAGAATACTCCCCCTCAGCCTTTTGCACTAGTCAATTATACAGATTCTCGTCTGTTATGGAGTACTGTGTCATTGTTAATCGGGTGCATAAGGCAAGGGGAAGCGCCTGCTTCTATTGAGGATGCTGCTAGGTTAACTATTCACAATCGAACAAGGTGGCTCGAAGATTCAACCTCTGTGGGCTTAGGGGTTGCATCCTGCTGTCCTTTATCCGTACTTCGTAAAGGTATCAGCATAGCCTTTTTAGCCGATCTTCTCGGCTGTGTCCGGACGGTATTGATCCACCTTTGCGACCTGAGCTTCTGGAGCTCGACCATCCGTTTTTCCTGAACGCTTAGTCCGCTCTTCTTGTGCGGATATTCTGGGGCGGAATCCAAGACACTGGATCGTCGCCCACAATGGACAATGTTACTTATCCACTAGAGCGCCGCCAAGAGGCGCCACCCTTGCATCCTCAGCAACTTGGTGCCCACATATTTCAAGCATCGGGGTCTAGATAGATTGTCTCGAGCCATCATCCAGTGCACGCCCAGTGTGGTTGGTCTATTGGGTTATCCAACCTTAAACCCAGTGGCCAATGCGCCGTTCCGTGACTCCTTTAAAGCAAATAACAAACCTCTTCCTGACAAGGATTAAGCTTCTCCAATTACTACCAGTCTCAATCAGACGTTTCTCCCCGTTAAACTATTCTCATTTTTGCGTTGATTTCTTCCTCGTTTCTAAAATTTCCTTGGGTGACCCCAAAAAAAAAAAAAAAAAAAAAAAAAAAAAAAAAAAAAAAAAAAAAAAAAAAAAATACCCTTTCATCCCTAATTCTGACCATATCTAGGGTACCCTCACACTCTCCTGTCCGGACATAAAATTTCTCTGCTTGAATTGAATGGAATTTACCCAAGACCGACTGATGCTGTCTGCTGATTTTGTTTACATACCGCTTTATACATTCGTTATTTGATATGGCGTACCCCAAGCACATGAACAGCTCACTTTTTATCAGACAGGGTTCGCCGCTGTTTCATGGGAATCAGTCTCATTCCTGGCATGGAAAAGCTGTAGGGCCACATCGGGCATTGTCTCATCCTGCCATTCGTCTTCACCAAGGGCGTACGGATCGGTCTTCCTCGGAGCCACTGCCATCGACCGCACCAGAGCCCACTTTCAGCTTTCAATTAGCCTTACCCCAGTTTTATGTGCCTTACAGATGGTGGGAAGACGGTGCTTCCATGATACTTTGGGCATTTGACCACCAGGATATCAAGAGGCTCCTCCGGTTTCGCTTATATGAAAACGATGAGCTACCTCGCCACGTACTACAGAACCGCAATGCAGACGTTGTTTCAGGATTCCTTGCATCCTTACTTCCAGCAGAACAAGGGATGTTTCCCTTAGAACTGTCTCACCATGACAAGGTGGAAGAAATACTGGAACTATGCCAGCTCAGGACCGTTCCCGTGGAGCCCTGGAGGTGGCATCCAAATTATTCGTATAATGTCGAGCCAATGACTATTGCTTCTTATATTGATGTTGAAAGCTCACGACAATTCCAAGCTGTGCCCTTCGAGGACTGGATCCGGTATGCCTTGGGATATCCTACTGAGTCGATTCAATGGTTTTTCTCCCAACACAAACAGCTGCATGACATAGTCTCGGCTCATTTGGACTTATTCCCTGGAGAGTTTGATACCTATGTTGAGGTTGAAAGGGTAGGTACTGTCCGATTTAATGACTTGTTCCTCGATTTTAACTTTACAATAGCACCTCCGAGGCGGTTCCCCATTTGCACAATATGTCTTGTTGCAGTGTCTCAGTGTTAGAGGCTTATTAAATAGCGAAGTACCTGATCAATCAAACCAATGGGTTGTGGGATATATCATCCGCCCTATCCAGGAATTGTTTAGAGCCCACCTGACCGGTTTGCCCTCTATGCTGAAAAAGCTCTCGGTCCTCGCTCTCAGTTTTGAACGCAAATACCGGACTTCGGCGGAAATAGATTGGAGTGCCCCTTTTGACGCAAATCCTGCATACTTGAATGACTTCTTTGCCTTTCGAGAGGTCGAGCCTCTAGCAAGAAAGCTTACACATATTGATGCAAAAGAATTTTCCTCTCTTTCAGTGCAAAGCTTCGTTGAGGATACCGCTGCACTACGATCGCTATCTGGTAGATGGCACTTACTCTGCTCCTCTACTGAGGAATGCTGCCGCGCACTTCCCGAAATGGCTACGTTCTTCAAAAGTTGCATCTGCGTACGTATTGATATCTAGCTTTATTACACCCCTTGCTGCATTCCCTTATAGTGAGCCTAACATAAACAATTTATTACAGGCTCTACATCAGTTAAGAAACTATTACTCCGCTACAGCTATGCTCTATGGTCTTCAGAAAGCAAATATGAATGTTTTTGACCTATTTTTGGAACTGAATGATGATTCCCAACAACCTCCCCAGAGCTATTGCTTTAAACTAATGGACTCAGCTGGCAACTACAACTTTTACAGGGAAACAATGCGAGCACGACCAGGAATCCCATTCTTGCTCCCGCATATTGTGGAATACCAATCACATGGAGAAGATGCAATTATTGCGATGTTCCCTCTTTGCGTTCATTGAAAATCAGGGTCGATCGTCCGCCTATTTTAGGAAGCCTTTAATCTCTCTATCGCATTTCCAACCAAACCGTTTCCTTTTACACATGTGGCTGTTTCAATTGTACGTACAAGCCTTCAAACCCAGTATTATTATACCCTTGCAGGCTCAGGGGCTGCCTGGACCCGATACTCTAGGCGATCAACCCACATTCATAGTGATAAGCGAAAAGTGAGTCGGTCCTAACATCGGCTATGCCTGTCATCCATTTGTATGAAGGAAGAAGAGAAGGGGCCGTGTTCATCCGCCTATGCCAGGATCCAACACCAATTGAATGAATCTTGGCTACCTATCTCATATGCGGACTATGTTAATCTGGCCCACGCTATGAACTGATATGAAATCTGGAACGCTTTGTTCTCTTTCGTTGAACGAATGAGATCCAACAGACGAGGTCCTATTCTCGGGGCCAGCCATTGCGCACTCGCCAGCCACAGCTAGAGAAGCTCCCAGCCCGTTCTCCTGTGGATCGGAATGGCCGCTTTCAGCAGACCTGTGAACCGGATTACATTAATACATACTATCCTTACAAATTTCGAGCCGATATCCCAGCTCCACACGGACTGATTTGGAACTTTAACCTGAGTACCGACCAATCTCCGCTTATAGCTTGGGGTAAAGGAACAGAATGAACTGAGCTCGATCGACAATCTCCATGTTATGAACAAGAGACAGCTGAAGTGCGGAGCCCGGAAACCATAGGCGAATGAAATATCTGTATACCCAACGCCATGCCTTGGTTCCAGCCTTTTACTAGCTGGCCAATAGCCTATCCAACGTCAGTGTTACTGCATCTGGTAGAATGAATTTTAAATCAGAACGACCATTATCGCCACATCTGAGGCCCACCCTGACCTTTGAAATTTAACTTTCTAACTCAGCCGCGTGGTATGAATGCCTTATATCTGCGGAGGTATCGAGGAGGCGAAGTATGTACAGTCCCTGCCGCAGAGTCATAGCGGGGTGGGGATGACATGCGTACCTGAACTCCTCTCACTCCGCGGGATATGTAAGTCAAAAACACCTACCTAAGCGCCCCGTACAACCCATATTATTGTCTTCAAAAAATTACAACTATGCTCCATGGCTTGTGTTTATATCCTGTGCTCATGAAATTACGTAGTTAAAAATACGAGATGGAAGACCGTCACCTCCGATCCATCCATAACTACCTGTTGCCTGTCTGCCCCTGCAGAAACGACAAATTCGAGCTAAAATGTAACAGGAACAAGCGGCTGCCGAGCTTCCCTTAAGAAAATACCCTTTGCATCCATCGCCGTATCTCTGATTTCACGTCCAATGAGGAACAATTCTTCTGTGGTGCTTTGCGAAAGGATCACATGGGCGACATAGCTGTCTGTGAAAGGGCCATCTGATAGTCATCCTGCAATAGTGTGAAAATCTTGTGAAGTCAAGAGGAACCTAGCAAACGAAGCCACAATAAAGGTGTCTAGGTTCACCGAATACGACACTTACAATACCCTGTTCAAATTCGTGTAACCACTAACTTGCATACCATTAATATAAACACGGCTGCGTTAGGTGTGTTGGTGACGATGCAGAATGGAGGGAGCGTAACCGCCTGTGCCGCCCGGTCCTTCTCTTCAGACGGAGTTATACCCCTGAAAAGGGCCGATGCCAGCTGTGCATGGAAACTGGGTAGTGTTTGGACATACCGGTTTTCTCCATGAAAAACATGTGGCGCAGAACTGGAATTCTTTTTGCGATTCTAATCTCGCCCTCAACCGTCTACCAGGACGGCTTCAACGCACTTCTATTCAGTCACGTTGGCGGCTCCCCCGAAAATACATAGGGCAAGACGTGCGTTCAACAGATGTGGCAAACTGCAAGGTATACCTAGGGCCCATGTTCCCACAATGCAATGATGTATTTGTTCACCGGGTATTGCCGATAAAGTTATTTACTACAAAATATTTAGTTTGTTTGACAGAGGCGGGCTTGACATTGAAGACGTTTTACGCCTGTTGTGGCTTGTCGTTCTCTGATTTGATGCGAACCTAGAAACAAAAGCACCCTGATAAGGGCGGTATGGACCTGGTTAGGACTTGGCTGTCCATTCACGATGTGGTCAAGGTAGCGGTGAAATCCCTATCGATACGCCATTGGTGCGCTTTTCTTACTAGCAAGGGATCTGACGGAACTTACTTTATGATTTACCACGTCTCAGCCACGTCGACTGGCGCTTATGCCAGGGCTTGGGTGTGTCAAAGCTATGGGGAGGATAATTAAAAGCAAGAATTTCGCACTTGGGGTGGCGTTGGAGAGCTCTGTATTCAAACAACACTGTTAGGTTGCTCCTTTTTTGATGTTGGGAAAAGTAAACATTGCATAGTGATTATATAAGCGGGAAATGTCAAATTAGGGTTCCGGAATCGCGGCCGCTAGTCCTAAACCGGAAAGAGGTTAATCGTACACCGGAGAAACTAACTTCCGAGTAACGCCGCCCAGATGGAACCTTCACCTTACCTAAGCTTCCAGACACTGAAGTTGCTCGAAGCGAGCCTCGCGTGGTGTGGAAGCGATATCACCGCGAGAACATGCAACAAGCGACTCGACGCTGGACGCCGATGCTTGGAACAATGTGAGGCGTATATAGAGGTAGGACTTCAGCATGGATGCCTTCGTAGGCTCGCTCCCTTTGGCCTCCGCGAACTCAGATGCGCCATCCTCCCAGAATCGTGAGATGCACCAGCTGCCGCATCTAAAGATCCCTCCCCTCCGAGACCCTCTTCCACCACCATCGCGTAAACCCCCGTCTCCACTTGAGCCCAATGCCGGGACAATCAGGGAGTCCAAATATAACTCCAAGTCAACGCTTACTGCGTCCGACCGGCAATCAGAGCTCCCAACGGTAGCGGGGTTTTTTCTTAACAACACAGTGCAATCAGACAAACCAGCAGTCACAGACCCGATACCAAGCGCCGACAACCCACCTAAAACAGTGCTCCCGGCCTTTATAAACCTACGAGCTGTTGAAAAGTTACCCTATTCCTCCTTCGAACAAGAGGCGTTGCCTCGTAAACGACGCCGGGGCGACCAATATGCTGACACGTTCGGAGACCATCTGCAGCTTCCAATACCGAAAAACCAAAAGGAGGTACCTAAACAACGTCCTCCTTTCGGACCATTAACAATTTTGAATGGGTTAAACGAGCCACCGCCAAATGCCGCCCTATTCCCACCCATCGAACCCAACGGGTCTCTCAATATCCCGACATGTGGAATCCAGCAAATATCAACTGCAACCAATGGTTCTTCTATTCAAAATAATGGAGGAAGTAAACCAAGGCAACATGCGGAAGATAGTGAAAAGACTGTGGATAAAGATCGCGTTATGGGCAACGCAGCCTCTCTGGAGGTACCTGCGTTAACGACTGAAACTCATGTAGAGTCGCAACAACCTTTCGAGTGTGCGAATAATGAAGATGATCCAAAAGACACGGGTGAAACTGCATCGAAATCCCAACGGAGGAAAAAGGCTAGAAAATGGACAGATGAGGAGACCTACGACTTATTACGCGGAGTTGTGAGGTGTGGAGTTGGTAATTGGGCTACCATACTCGCACAAGCTGACCTAAACTTCAACGACAGGACGTCGGCAAATTTGAAGGATAGGTTTCGTGTTTGCTGTTCGTGGGCTTACCAACCTGATGGAAAGCCCCAGGCACTTGCAGATAATACGAATAATCGACAATCTGGGAAGATTTTCTTACCCGATCCCAGAAAAACCAAGGGGATTTCTGAACCAAATTCTCTCACAAGTTCTGTGTCTACGCTTCAGAATATTGCAAGAAACATGCCCGCTACCGCATCTAAATCTCACACCATCTCTCCATTTCCATCCGGTACGGAAAGCTCTGTTACATCAGAAACTCCCACAGCATCACATAAATCCCACCGCAAAGCCCGCCCTTCGGCAAGGGGAAGTGATGCTCTTTCAAGGAAAACAAAATCTACATTGATCGCTCTTGGTTTGCCTGATCCCGACGCTACTGTCAAAGCAAACAGACGGTCAAGACGTCCTTTTTCACAGGCGGAAGACGAAGCACTTCTCAAAGGCTATGCAGTCCATGGCTTCCAATGGACACTAATACGCCAGGACAAGCATCTTAATCTAATGCATCGAAAAGCGACGGACCTCAGAGACAGGTTTAGAACTAAGTTTCCTAACGCTTACCGGGAAGGAGGATCAGCGACAGCAAAAATTATACCTCTCTCCAGCAGCAATACCACCGTGCCAAGTACTGCATCTGACCCTGCTGAGGGCGAGAAACAAGGGCCGTCCTCAACTGCCCCGGCCAGCTCAACCACAAAAGAACACTTACCACGGTCTAGTTTTGACTCACCTGTTGCAGAATCCCGACTTGGCAAAGGAAACCTTCGGCGGCCAAGTAATAGTGGCACAGGTACAAATAACACAGCATGCGAACAAAATGCAAAAACGAATCCATCATCCACACCTGCAAATGACATTTTTCTGTCTACTATGACTGCCAGTGCAATGCCTATCGACCCGGCAATGCTGCCTCCAGCGCCACCATTGAGCACTGCTTTTACCTTTACAGCTATAGATGACGGTACAAGTGTCAGTGCTAGTGAATCTACTCTAGGGCGATCTGACGACGTCACTTTACCCCCGTTGGTATGGGAAGAGTTGGGGTGATAGCAATTTCCATACATTTATGTCCTTGACTCTATAACCAATTATACTATCATAATCATGAATATTACGACCGAGAGCTACCAATACATATTTCAAAATATTGACAGATTTTACAGCCACGCTTCTAGTTCTCTGCTACTTATAACTCTTCAGAGAACGGAATAATTATAAGTCAAGGTAGACCAGTTTCTCTCCAGGTTTTTGGCAAAAAGTGAATCGCTTCGATATATACTGTAATAAAGGCGCACAAAAAAGGAACGCTTAAATAAACAAGATAAAACCAGTTGTTGACCACCTTACTTAGCTTTTTAAAAAATATTTATGGATTATTAGCGGTAAGGAGATAAGAAAGATAGAGTCACTTGGCTAGCTGCGAGTATTTCAGCGCTCCTCAGCCTGAAAGAAAATGGGACATGGATATACGTTTAGCTAGCACCGGTAACGCCTTGTAGCAGCAGCTCCTAGATTGAAAAGGAAAAGGGACTAGAATAAGAAAGATAGGACATAGCTAGTAAATCAGCACCTTCCGTGCCAACAAGGTAAATCATATGGCCGAGACATAAGGCTGGAGTTCATGTTATATTGGAATGGAAAGAGGACGGGATTCGTGAAATTTAGAAATTAAGACACTTGTTGATGGCATCACCAGGCATTACGATCCCAGTTTGGATCTAAAGATGTAAAGAATTAGTCTATAGCGTATATTTGTATAGATAAGGGTAGATATTTACCTTGTACAAAGCTGGCCAGCACTTTGCTTCCAGTCTGAAGTAGGGGGTGACCGACTACTATTTGCAAAAACCGCTGAAGCCCTTCCCTACGGTGTTCGATCACATCGTCACTGAAGCGGTTTGTGAACACTTTTCCTGGGAGTGGCGGTATCGTGACTCGTGCGCTCTCCCTTTCCAGTATATCTCGGAAGTATTCGAAATCTGAGTATCGGCGACGAACAACAGAGTGTTTCAGCTTAAACGCTGGGATATTGGTCCGACAGACAATTTCATACGACGTATACATATTGCGGGATGTGCCGTGCGTCTGAGGATTCCTCACCTGTAAATGCGCAAGGACCACTAAGTCAGCAAATGTAAAAACAAACCATGGCACAAAAAAAAAACACGGGCAGCTCATACTTCGATCTCCAAAAAGTTCTCGGGAGGCCCATAGATCTCCTCGAACGTCTGATGACGGGCGTCTGGTATGGCCTGCATTTTGCTACCGCTTATCGGCTGGTGATGGGTGTTGAAGAGTTTGATATCAACTTGCGGCCTTGTAAGACAAGCGGCAAGCGAGCTAAGGCGGGGGTAGTGTCCGAGGTCACAAGGCTCAGAGGAGCTCAGTCGGAAGTCAGGTAGTTCTTCTGCTAGCTGGCGGCTCTTCTGCTGCTGCTGCTGCTGCTTGTCGCTGCTGCGGTCTTCCTGTGATGTCTGGTGCTCTGCGATGCCGGCGTTGAAACTTGCTTCCTCGACGTCCCTTCGGCGGCTTCGCTGCCAACCTCTGGAACCCCAAAAGCGGAAGTGGGTGGGTCCATGCTCCTCCGGCGGTATGTTATTCCATGCCGTTCCAAAAATAAACTAGCGTAAGTTTTAGCTTATTAATATCTTGGCTTTTACACGTGACTGTGCACGAGCTCCAGTTAAAACGAACGTCAAAAGCTTCCACCTGCGGCCGCGAAAAGCAAAGAAGAAAAAACATCGAGAGAGACGACGAAGAAACGGCCATATCAGACATCTTGATACTCGCTGCCAGAGCGCGTTGACCTTGGTTTCTGGGTTCCCAAGGACGCGTTGCTAGTCATTGCCGGACATAGGAGATTAGCCAAACCTAACGCCACGTCTAGATGACGCTACTGGTCGGCGGGTTTTGCGGAGTAACTAGCTAGCGACCGAACTACAGGGTACCTATCCGACAATTCATCCACCACGACCGTTCGGACATCAGGACGGAGGACATACTTATCAGCAACTCCTGGCCGCTTTTGCACATTGAATGAGCTATTGTCACCTACTCTTCAGTGGTACATGATATATCTTGCAGGTCGCTCGGCTATACCATGTCTGGTCATCCTTCAAGCCGCCAGGAAGCGGTGTCGCCTGCGGAACCGGACTCCATATACCATCTAGCCCATGAATGGGGTAGCGTTGATACCGTTGGGAATGCAAGTAGCCAGAGTGATGCAGGTTTTAGCAACGCTCATCACTGGGATCCATCAGCTGGAGACCTAGATGATATGGATGATGCTGATATGGATGATGATGATGATGACGATGGGGAAGAAGACGATCGTGATGATGATGAGTACGATGACGATGACGAAGACAACAGATTTGATAACGATGATAGTGATGGGGACGGGCGCAATGTAGAGCTTCAGTTTTCGGTCTATCCCGCGCAAGGCGACACGACCGCGGCAACAGCAGCAGGACCTAGCGGGGAAGGGCAGCCTCAAAACCCAGAGCGTGTAAGAAGTATGGGCAGCAATATCTCCCTCGCATGGAATCTTCAAATTTCTTTCCCTTTTGGCTTGCTGATCGGATTGTTGTTAGTAACCACTGCGCAACTATTCCGCCTGATTGGGGCAACTGAGCTTCATCGTATTCTACAAGGCCATGGAGTCCTGCGCTCGCGATCAAACGAAAATGGCCAAGGTTATGATATTTATGGCGTACAGGCAACCCGTCGCACCAGAAGGACAGGCCCTAGTAGATATCCGAAACCTCCAAGCCAGACGGGCAGAGAGCTCATGATTTCCGGGGACTATGGCAGTAATCCGTACTACGTCGACAGACTAAAGGGCCGGAAGAAGAAGCTGGCAACAAGTCTGATGTATAGAGAGCTGGGGGCAGGGCCCCGAGGAACCGAAATTAGATCCTCTCGTGAACTATCCCAGGTAAGAGACTATTATTTTACATGATTAGCCTCTATCTCCTCTTCTTGATGTTCATGATGTTTAAATTACTCTACGTGCCTGCTGACAATAAATCAATTTCCAGGGCCTAATTCCCGGCACAGCTGCTGATACCATCATACATTATGAGAATCCGTGTTACTCGGGTCAGTTCTCTGATGATGGTAATTTTTTCTTCGTGACTTCTCAAGATTTCAATGTTCGGATGTATGATACCTCCAACCCATATATCTGGAAACATTACAAGACAGTGGAATACCCCATCGGCCAGTGGACGATAACAGATGCAACACTGAGCCCAGACAACAAATTTTTGGCATACAGCTCCATAAGAAACATTGTTTGCCTGGCTGGAACAGACCCCGCTTCATCGACAGACCCTATTCTCTTGAGTTTTGAACATGGGCCACAGGGTGCTGCGTTTAACTCGATGTTTGGAACCCGCTTTGGGGTGCGTTATTCACCTGTATCCCCTTGTTCATCATTTTCTATTAGATATCCAACTGACTTAATGGCTAGATATGGTCGGTCCGCTTCTCTGGTGACGGCCGCGAGATAGTAGCTGGAACTTCTGGCAACTCTGTCCTTGTTTACGACTTAGAAACGCAGCGGACAATACTCCAGCTGCGCAAACATTCGGATGACGTCAATGCTGTTTGCTACGGAGATAAAATGTCACCCCATATCCTCTACTCAGGTTCCGACGATTCTACCATTCGCGTATGGGATCGTCGATCAATGGCGGATGGCCGAGAAGCGGGTGTTTTCGTCGGTCACACAGAAGGCATAACATTCGTTGACAGCAAAGGAGATGGCCGATATGTCCTATCGAACAGTAAGGACCAAACAATGAAGCTTTGGGACTTGAGGAAGATGATGACAACAGCTAAATTTGACGGGATGGACCATATCAGATATTCAACGGGCTTTGACTATCGATTCAGTCCATACTTGGAATCAGATTATACCCCTCATCCCCATGATTGCTCCGTTGTTACGTTCCATGGCCATGGTGTACTTCGGACTCTAATACGCTGTCACTTTTCACCCCCGGGAAGCACAGATTCAAGATATGTATACACAGGAAGCCATGACGGCAAGGTATACGTGTATAATATGGATGCTACTTTGGCAAAAGTGATCGATGTTGGAGGAACCACTCGTCACTCCTGGTCACCCAGAGGCACACCTCGTTCCTATGACCTGGATCCTAAGGAGATTAAAACTTGTGTGAGAGATGTCAGCTGGCACCCCAACGCCCCAGTGATAGCAGGTATGTTCTACGCCTAGCGCCTTATATCTATCTTTGATATAATACTCGAAATAAATATCTAACTAAGAACTTTCTAATTCTAGCTACCTCGTGGAATGGCTGGGGTATGTCGGAAGGAACATGTACAGTTCACTCCTGGACCGACGATGCAGAGGATGATGAAGGGCTTCCTTCAATGGGTTGGCATTTGGAATCCGAACTTCAACTACCAGCCGGCCAGGATTCAATTGTCGTGGAGTCCGAATATGAAGACTATTAATCTGTTAAGAAACAGGAAAAGCCATCCGATGGGGCTTAAAGGTCATATCGGATATTTATTAATGAATGAATGAGCATTTCTTTTTTTCGGTCACAGGCAGGAGTTGATGCCGTTCTTAATCCTTGGGCTTATGCTTGAGACAAATGCCCACTGTTACCCTTGAAGCTGTGGGGATAGTTACCAGGCTAATTAATTGTCTCTTTATGTCTATAAACATTTCTTACCAATGAACGAGTCTACTCCTTACGGTGTGAGAAGGATAAAATTACGAACAAAGTTCCATTCCCAATGAGCAAGTAATTCAAAAACAATGAATTACTGTTTGACTGATAGGATAAATCAAAGAACCCCATTTCAAATACCTAAAAACTAAATCCTATAAAACTCCATATGATAGGGCACTTCACTGAGATCGAGCCATTTAAACCGCAGAGACAGAGACACCGTTTGCTCATTAATAAGGCAAAAGAGAAAAGATAATAACAAAACATAAGAAGCAAATCCATGCCCTCGACAAATTAGGAAAAAAGTGAAAAAAAAAAAAAAAAAAAAGAAAAAAGAAAAAAGAAATGAGACGACGAGGAGCCTTTCGCCTGGATAATGAAAGGAACTAACACCGTATTTCCCATGGGATAGGGTAGTCGAGCGAGGGTCGGGGTCATGGCCAACAGCTTTTCATGACTTAGGCGGAAGAGATATATTGGGTTATTCAGTACAGAGACAACACATCATCGGCAGGATGATTCAGGTACGAGTCCAGCTGGAATGACCCGTTAGCGGGCTCGTCGATGGCATCGAGTGCTCTTGGGGGTAGATAGCAATGGTAGAAGATGAACAGGCTCGCTGCTCTCTCCGTATTGTTTTACTCCTGTCGAGTTCGTTTGACTCCGTGAGGATTCCAAGCACCACTATCGTTGCCGCCGCCGCCAAAGAAGGCCGGGTTGAAATGAGGATTCTGGTTTTGGAAGCCTTGTCCTAAACCGCTCTGGTTAGAGAAGAAAGAATACGGAGCAGACGCGAAAAATATGACGAATAGGGTATCATCAACACCCACCTTGCATCCCCATGTTGCCTCCTTGCATTCCGCCCATCATATTTCCCATTTGGTTTGGCATTCCTCCCATGGGCATACCTCCCATACCACCCATGCCTCCCATGCCTCCAACGCCTCCCATATTGCCAACGGGTCCGCCAACGGGCATCATGGGGCTGGCCATGCCACCCATGCCTCCGCGTCCACGCATGTTAGGATTACCTCTCATGTTGTTCATCATACCTCCACGGTTGTTGAACCCTCCGTAGTTCTGCATGCCGCCCATAGGGTTGCCTTGGAAGCCTCCGACTGCTCCACCCTGGAAGCCACCACCCATAGGAGTGAAGTTCCTATTATTGTAGCCCATGTTTTGGTTCATTCCGCCACGATTATTGAACCCGCCACGGCCGCCGCGGAATCCAACGGCGCTATTCATGCCGAAGTTACCCTGACCGGCATTGAAACCTGGGGGAGTGGCTCTGGGGGTTCGATCGTCTTTTCCACCACGCATGGGATTCTCCTTTGGTAGGGTTTTAAATGGATTGATGTTAGGTTGGGTATAAGTGACAGAATACTTACGCCCCCCTTGCTGGGAATTGTTCATCTCTTCGATCTTATGCTTGGCTATTGTAGCGGCTTGGGCTGATGTAAATTCGACAAACGCCTGACTGTGAAGGATTAGCACATATTATGCGGTATACCGGGACTAAGATAAGGATAGGAAAGCACACATACCCTTTACTCTTTCCGTTCACTTTATGTTCGCTGAATGTGACATCTTTAAGGTCTGCTTCCACGCCTGCCTTGTTTACCCATCCACGAACCTCATCGTCCGTTGTCCACCAATGCAGATCCGAGACGTACAGCGCGGATGTGGCGTCTGGGTCAGCTTCTTTTCGTTTGACGCCCTGCTGGGGTAGTAGTTGTTGTTGCTGTTGCGCTGGAGGCTGCTGCGGTAGATTGTGGCCTGATTGCGGTGCCTCCGATTGAGACTTCTCTGTTTTGAATATCTTATGGCTCTCATTGTCCACATTGTTATTACTGTTGCCATACTTCTCATCGGACCCATCTGCGTTCCCGCCACCTTGCTGCGTGTCAGGGCCATCGAGTACTAGGTCTTGTTCCTCGGTTTTAAAAGTCGTGTCCTGACCTTCGTCGATTAATCCACTTCCATCTCCGTAGATATCAATATCAAAGTTATCATCTTCAGTCGCCATTGCAATTTATTGTCTGGGAAGCCTGTTTCTTTCTGATAGGGGTTGCTTTCTCTTATAAGCTGAGAGCAATAGATTGATTTCTGTTCTTGTTATTTCGTTATGCACAGCTTTTCTGGGGGTAGTTGTCTTGATTCGACGGATGTGAAGAGTACAGGTCTGTGGATCAGGGAGCCAGATTAGCAAGGAAATGTACATCAATAGACGTGAGTATGATGGTGCTGTAGTCGAGATTGTCATGGTCTGCCGCTGTCCATATGGCTTCATGGAGACCAAAAAACCGGGGTATCGAGATGCCATGAGAGGTAAGAATAAAAAACAACGAAGAATCAAAAAAGAGATACGTACAAAATCCCGTCGGTTATAGTAGTTTTTGTTTCAAAGAATGGGCACACACAAGACAAGATGATGGGCAGAAGCGAGGTCTTCTTCGTTCAGCCAGATATAAAGCCCGACTGCCTTCGATGGCAAGTACAGGATAGAGGATGTTTGTTCTTTTTTTCTTTTAAAATTAACCACAGCGGTTATTGTTTGTCACAAGTAAGGGTTCCAACAGGATTAGCGCCTGATCCTCCACCGAGGAAACGAGTGAGAGAGCAATGGGAGACACCCTAACGAGATATAAGACGGGCAGAACAAGCTGTTAGATATTCAGGGGCAGTGAGAAAAGGGGTAGATTGGTTAGCTGTATGAGCTTCTCTTCCGTCTGTCTGCCTATCCGGCTCTCTGTCGGCTGTAGCTCGAGCTCCAAGACGGCCGCGAATGCGTGGCGAAGGCGAGCAAAAGAACCCGCGCCTCAGCAAGAATCCGGCGCGCGCAACAGAGGATCCAGTACGGTATCCTGGCGATGAAGAGCGCAGCTGCGAGAAGGCGTTTGACGGTGCGGGTGTTTGATGTCGTCGTCGTTGAGATTTCGAACTGAACGCGAAAACAAACGACGAAGGGACGTTGCGCCGCCGAAAGGGGCTTAGCGTGTTAAGTCACGTGGACGGAGTGGAACAACGTGTTTCCGAAAAGACACCTCAACCTTTACGCGAAAGATCGAGATGGACGGCGAGCTGGAAGACGATCGATAAATACTAACACATCGAGGGACGACGACGACCACGCCGAAGAGGACCAACAGCGAGGCCATAGACTACTCCGAAAGCGAGAAAAGAACCCCCGCTGTTTTACAAGCTACAACGCCAATTTGGACCGGTCGCCATGTCGGACGCCTTCCAGGAGCTCGCTGATATCCCCAAGGACTTCGTCAAGGATGGCATGCTCTTCGTGAACCGATGCACAAAGCGTATGTTCCGTTCGTCGAAGTTGTGCCAGGTCGTTTAAGACCGCCGGATGATATAGTCTCGACTGACAGCTCGTTTCAATCATAGCCGATAAGCGCGAGTTCCTCAAGATCAGCCAGGCCGTGGGATTCGGCTTCCTTATCATGGGAGCCATTGGATACTTCATCAAGCTGAGTTAGTCTTTCTCTTGATACAGGCAATTATAACAGGAAATATAGCATGTTGACGGAATATCTTACCTCGCAGTACACATTCCCGTTAACAACATCCTTGTTGGAGGCGCATAGTCGCCCCTTTCGAACATCTCACCATCAAGCCACATAAATCAAACGACAAACCGCAGCACAGTGGTTCATTCATATGTGAATGGCCACTTCTCCACAACCCACTTTCTACCTTTCCAATCCCTTTCCTCGTCATTCGACATGAACATATGTCTTATTGTTTGCAGCGAGAAAAACAGCAACCCATTGGCGTGTTACGGACGGATGGCAAAAAAAAAAAAAAATATGGTGGCTACCCTGAGGTTGAGGAGGCTTCAACTGCTACTTGGCGCTATATCATCTCTATCCTCTTTCGGGGACTTATCTCACTAACTACATATTTTTACTTTCCATGTAAATTATACGAATATACCTCCTTTTCCTTCTCCAATGGACATGGCTAGTTGCCCAACTGGGCCATTCAATTTCCCAATTGCAATCCCCAACTGGCCTGGCCGCAGTACCAGCTGATCCAGTGCGAAACTGCCCTGCCTCAAGACACGGGCTAGTGCAAAAGAAATAAGGGTGAGTTATACACTTATATGTACGTCGCTTGGACCGTGTGTCAACTCTCGGCTGGTTCACCTGAGCGTTCTCTTACCAAACTAGCTAGCTAGTTTTTGATATGCGCTCCCTCAGCTGGACAGCGAATATATTATATCCTTGTTTGACTCTAACCTCATACAGTCAATACAAGCTCCCAGTGCTTAGTAAATGATCGGTCCACAGAGAGTGCTGGGCAAACTATTGGCTGATATACACGCACAATTTCCACATTGACGCCCCCCTGGTTTCTTAATTAACAGGTACCTGATCCCGCCTCTTCCAGAATACCACCAGGACTCTGCTAGAAGGGAAGGGAGGCGTATCCAAGTGTTCTGCAGTAGTGTGTCCCGATGGGCAGTGCCGTTGCCGATGTGTTCCAGAGCAATTTTGACTGGATTGACTGCGCCCGCCTCCAAGCTGTCAGGATACACATTGACAAGGTATGTATGTCAATCAAGTAGTTAGCGCCATTGATCTTAGATCAGTTGACCATAGAGAGATAAGACCTGTTGGCGCTTCCTGCAAAATTTTTCCGGCTATTGATTGCTCTCAAGTCTAATCCGTAACGGGCATACCCGGTCTTTCAACATGGTTGCCTCTTGCGATATCTCTGAATTAAAATTCGTAAGTGGAAGTTTGTTCGTCCCATCCCACCGGTTGGGACGATCAATGAGTGGCGTAGCTGGTCTCAGCGAGGTGAACCTGAGCCCGTCGGTATTCCAAGAGACTCATTCGGAGGCCCATCCCAGCTCCATCTGGGGAACCTCCTGCTAGAAATCTCCTTTTGGGACCCCGCCAGCCTGGGGTATACTGTCGAGTCAGACCTTCGGACGACAGATTAAGGCAGCCATTTCCATTTACAGATGGCAATTCTGTCGATCCCACGGCCATATCGAACGATCGAACAACGCAGAATACGGGCTTGCCAATGGCCAGCGCCGCCGGGCTGTCAGCAGCATGTCTTGCAGCCAGTTCTTTTGCTAGCAGGGGGTATCATTTCGCGCAGAAGGGACTATCCCTCTTCGGAGCGATAGTCGGTCCCTCGAGCGAGGGCTGTCCCTGTCTCAGGAACCAGCAGATGTGTGGAGTCTCAGGCCAAAACATCGCGATCGGCAATTCAGTCTGACGAACGAAATAGGGCAGAGGGCGGCTCCACCGAAACAAGGTTTATCTTCCGTCCTCCACAGCGGAAGTTTAACTAAACCCGATGTTCATCTTTCGCGATCATCTGTGGTGTGCATATAACTCATAGCAGTCGGCGGCCAGCAGACATGGGTGAGGGATGGAAGAAGTGAGAGATTTGGCTACTCCTGCGCAGATCGCGAGGGCGGAGAGGCGGTTGTGAGGTGAGTCGCCGGAAAGCGAGGGTTTGCCGGTGTCTCAGCGCTGTGGCTACTGTACGTTGCACACTGCACCAGCTAGCTAACCTGCTAGTGACAGGCCGAGAAAAGACGACTACGTGAGAAAAGCAAAGGCCAGGTTAGTTTTCTCCCTTCTAGCCAAATGTATAATTCCTCATTCCTAAGAGAGAACACTCAGCGGGCCTTGGAGGCCGTCGAATCTCCCGAGTGAGACACGGATCGGTGGCCCGACAGTGGCCCGGTAATACTCAACCAAAGGGCCGATAGCATCTCGATTGGCTGCTCACGGGACAAGCGGACCAAGTATAGAATGGCTGCAGCCCTAGAGAGAGAGGTGAACGATCTCCCCAAGGGTGCGAGGGACAAGCAAGGGAGGGAGGGTGGTTGGGGCAGGGATGGAGATGCTAGCCGGACATCCAACCTAGCAATGCACGGCATTTGCAAAAAAATCCTCCATCTCGACGGCGTTAGATCTGTAAATACGGTTTAACGAACAACCTCACCTCAGCAGGAGCAGGAAAAGACAAGAATAGGAACAAACCAAGCCGTGGGGGGAATAAAGGATAAAAGAAAAGGCATGACGAGCAGGTCTATTACTGGCTGTCGATGGCACCGGCGAGTCGAACCCGAAAGCCGATGACCCAAGGCATCGACTCTGGACGACGCTGTTTGGTAGAAGGGAAATAAACGTCGAGACTAAGGAAGAAGAAAAGGCTGAGCAAGATATCGCTGTCGAATAGGGGGTAAGCGCACCATACGGGGAATTAGTAAGACGAGCTAATGATAGCAGTCAGATTCCAAGAGATGAACCTGGATGGCTCACTAAAAACAACTCCCGAGCAAAGTTATGATGCCGTGAGGGCTAAAAAAAGAAGAGCCTTCTTTAACTATCTTGGCTTTTTCATAAGCCATGCTTCCCTTTGCTTTTTCCCTTGTTCTTGGATGGGGGATTGGAGATGCAAGCCAGAGAGTTAATTGATTTGCTAATATTGGTGGTAGATGCCTTTGCCCTGCCTGGGCCTGCAATTGACGCTTGTGATCCGCTGGGTTTTCCCAAAGAGTAAGAACCTATCTCACTAGTGGAAGTGAAATGGACAGGATGAAACGGCCGCCCAAGGCGCCGAGGTGCCCGGTCAGCTAACTGCGAGTGGCTAGGGGAGCAGCTTTAGTGAGTGAATCAAGCAGTAATATCACAGGGAGAGAGTTACAGTTAGGGTGCATCAAATGAGCACTGGCTGCCGTGCGCCGCCCGAGGACTCGGATCCAAGTCAGATCCAAGAGAAGACCCCCATTCTGCATCTTTGACCTCTTCGAACTAACTGCCTAACTAGTTAACTGAGCTAATTAGAGTGATGTATGTAGGTGCTCAATGTCAAAGGCAGCTGAACTTGTCAACCATCCATCACCTGGCGGAACTCGGGATATATATCCGCCAACCCTCTTTGCTCTGCCCATAGGTCACTCTGTTACAAAGTGAAGCAAAATGTTTCATTTAGATGCGATTCGCTCGTTCTGTAGATTGGCTGCGAGATTGCACATTCTACCTCGGCCGCTACCTAGATACTGGTGCAACAGAGCTGGTTTCTAGCTAGCTTGCTGGATTATGAACCAGCATTCCCATAGGCTCGTCAGAGCAGCAGAAGAAACGCAGAAGAGCATCAGGGGAGATCAAATCAAATGGATCGAGAAGCAGCCTCATAACGTGACGCTTGTCTCTTTTCTTTTTCTGCCCGTTCTCACCCATTATTGTCCTCATCATCTTGCTCCGTCTCCTTTCTTTTTCAACCTTTGCCCTGGAGGGTGGTTGGTAAGTGTTTTAGCTTGTTGACTGACCTCAGTAACTAACCGACTCTAGTATAGGGTCCGCTGGGAAATGCTGGATGGAATGCAGATGCCAGCGCACACGCGTCCCTCTGCCTTTGTCATGAGATGCTGTGGCTATCTGGCGAGATAAGATGAAGCAAGGGGGCATCATGCAGCTCCGAGAGCCCGGTATCGTCATTCCATAGTGGTGAGTTAATTATACGAGTTTCTATATACAGTCTACATCGAATTCTAGCGGAGATCTCATGGCTTCGTCGTCCCATTGGGAAGATTGAGATTGAACATGGCGTGGTTGGCGAGCTTCCACAGTTGGTGAGTTGCTCATTGCTTTTTTTGCTCATGGCATCTGTTCCTCTTCCTTTCCTTCTTTTTACTAATATTTTTATCCAGTCCAAATTCCTTGGGCTTGTTCTTCGGTCGCTCTTCTTTCTTTTTCTTCCTCAAGGGTGAGACGGCGCTCGCGAGATTGACAAGACTTGATGCTCATGCGCCGGAAAAAATAAAAAAAGGAACCAAGCGAAAAGAAAGCCCGAGTTCGTCCAAGGGTCTCTAAAAATCATCGGCCTCAAGGCCAGGGATTCCATCGCAGAAAAAAAAAAAACTTTTTACTTGAGTTAACTGCAGTTCAGGAATACGTAGCTCTCAGCACACGCACCGCAGTCTTGCGATCAACAGATGAAATAAAACAATAAAACTCCTGCGAGCCACCAGTGGGCAATTCCGCACGCACATGGATGGCCCTGTTTCATTCAACCAACGCTGAGGCGGCTCATTGTCCGACGCGAGCCCTCAGATGGACGTCATTCTGGTATACGTATACTCACTGCACACCCAAGGAGCCAGAGGACACAACTAGAATGTGGAAGGCAGGAGATTGAGTCACGACTTGAGCAGAAGAAGGATGGGGAGTTAGAAAAACTCTGTCATGGCAAGGCTCGCGGCATCGATTTCTAGCTATGCACTGCCGTGATTTGTATTTGATATGTCCGCGCTTTGACACTTGAATGAGCTGACGGGCTGTACGGATAAGAAAGGACACTTTTCTTTCCAGAACATACAACATGAGAAAAATAGTCGATTTTTTTGAATAATAAAAACGGGATAGGGCCAGTTCAAGACTCTTTACCAGCCGTGAGCCAGTCACGAAGTGACGACGAAAGAAAAAGCAATGTCCTTTGAAGAAAAAGCAAAGCTGAAAAGAGGCCAGACATGACAGCTGATTGGAAAGCTTAATGGTTGCTTTTTCACAGTTTTACGAAGATTTGAGTGGAGGGGGGGTGGGCATTTCAATCACCCCCCGATGCACAGAGTCAGTACCCCATAGCATGAAGTACGGAGGTATTTGAGGGTCACACGGCGAAGCTGCCAAATTATGAGGGTTCTTGCGATCGTTGGCCTGCTTCGGTATGCATGCGGCCCACCTGGAAGGATGAGTTGAGGGTGTGAAGGAAAAAGGGGACGCTCCTGGCCGTGGAGCCTATGACACAACTGGAGCTCCCACGTCAGGGCCGGGACAGGGGGGATACAGACCAGCACAATGGAAGGCCGTTACAATCTGATACTGTTTGATACGAGCCCAAGACAGATGCATACAACCAACTCATGATTCCTCCTATACACCGTGTGTACGGTCGCTATAGCATACATCGTGACGGAACAGAAGAGACAGAAAAGAAAGGAAAAATGAACAATAGCAAGATGTAGAGCAGACGGGTAAAATAAGAGGTGAAAAAAAAAAAAAAAAAAAAAAAAAAAAAAAAAAAAAAAAAAAAAGGAGTGTAAAAAGGCCTGTTTTCCATGATATGCCAATCCCGACCAAGAAATGAAGCTCACAAGATGAAGTGAATGTTAGTACACAGCAGGACTCTTTTCCTATCCCAGATAAATGCACGGCAGAAGAACTCCAGGCTAGTAGCAAAGGCAAAGAAATGGAGTAAAAAAAAAAAAAAAAAAGTAGAGAAGCAGAGAAATGACTGTCTCCATGTCGGAGAGAAGTATATAGACATGTACCATACCGTATAATATAATACCTGTCAATCAACGAAAAAGCAAAAGTGAAATGAAAAAAGAAGTGAACAGAACAGAAGAGAAGTACTCCGTAGAGAAGATCCAGCTATTGCGTGACGGAATCATGATGCTCATGCTGCTTCGCATGCGTATGGTTGTATGGTTGTATGCAGGTGGTTGTGTATAGGTAGAATAGATGTATGTCTGCTCGACTCGACTCAGGAAGAGGAGGAGCTGGAGGAAGACGACGACGAGGTACCGAACCTCATGGTGTAGGCCGAGAAGTGATCGTCGCGGGCACGCTGCTGAACAAACTGCTGTAGGGCATCGGAATCGATGAAGCTATCGGAGCTTGAACTGCTCGAGGTTGTGCCGCTGAAGCGATAACATGTTAGTACGGCAGCTCAGGGGTGAAGTAGCAGAGCAGCAGATGTAGGTAGACGTACATGGAAGAGGAAGATGGCGGCTTCACAGAGCTCTTTTCCGTGGCATGAGGCATGGTGGAAGCAGCAGATGAACGTTGTATTTGGGCTTGATAAGTGGTTGTTGTGTAGGGAGATGGTGGTCGTATGTGATGTTTGATGGAAATGCGAGAGTCAACAGGCGGAACTGGATGGTTTATATGCCTTTGGTGCCTGGAGTAACTAGTTATACTGCTCAACACCGGCGAGCAGTGACATCCTTTATATACTCGAGAGAGAGAGTGAGAGATTCCACGCCGCCCGACTTCTCTTTTGAGTTTTTCTCTAATTATCCTTCTTTTTTGCAGTTCGACTTAATTTTCAAGTTGGACTTTGTTTTTCTTCGCCTGTTATTTTATTTTTCATCTGTTTCTTCCGTCATCGGCTTTTTCGATGCCTGCGGATGCTCAACCGTCGACTAGTGTACCCCCAAGATTTCTCACTTTCCTTTCTTTTTTCCTCTGATCGGGGCCAGGAATAACTTTTACTTTTCATCCCAGCTTTATAGATACCATCCGATGTGTCTGAAGCTAGTGAGTGACTCTGGGGCGTAATTCACGAGCTATTAAGGGGGAGAGAAGAAAGGCGATGATGAAGTCATATCTACTACAGACGATGGATGAACCCTACACCGTACAGGGTAGCGGAATTATCTTCCGCATCTGCAACATTCTCTGGAGGCATTTCCCCCCTAGCATCCCTCCCTTGCTGGGCTTAGATCTTCCCCCTAGCCCCCTGCAGGGTAAATGCTCCGGAGCGGTGGGCGTGGCTCACCAATGGACCGTTTGTATACTGCAACAGAACCCTCAAAAACAGGAAAAGACAGAAAGCAACCCGTTAGACCCTCGAGTAACCAGATCTTGCATGTCATAATATAAATTAATATAATTCTCGATGATCACCAGCCACCAGCCACTAGTCACTAGCCACAGCTCTCAGGCAGAAGGAGAAAAGCAAAAAGGCAGCAGCCAAACGGAGGCAGTCTATAGGCTAGATGACACGAAGGCAGCCAGACGAGAGCAGCTCGTCTTTTTAACCTTCCACCAGCGGAGCCGATCCTGGAGAAATGTCCAGGAGATGGTGGCGCATGGTTCGTGTGTGTTTCCTGCATCGGGGCCCCATCATATATCGATCGTTGATTTGGTCGGTGCCTTGCCGTGTCCGATACATAGACCTGGCTTACGATAGGCTAACTACTATGAGTGTGTCATGGTTTCTTCGTGGTAGTTTCAAGGATGATCATCCACACGCAGCTGCCTCCCATCTCACCTGTCGGGGTGCCAGCAGGAGGGGGGAGGCTAGTCCTCAACAGCAATCCGCGTTCGCCAGACAAGATAGCCTTCCCACCAATAGTACGGACGCGATCCCGAGTGTATTCGCAGCGTTTCACCGTGTCACTATTACCCAGAGCGGTAGGTGTTATGTCGTTAATGAGTGGCTGTACAGATCAAGGCGAAGGAAGATGCAGAGGTGATAGGTTTGGGCATCAGGGAGATCAGTGACGGTCTCGATCGATGACCCCCTCGACTGGCTGGCCGGGCTTCTGTCTGCCTAGATCTCTGCCAGAGCCCAGAATACACGACCTGCAGGGAACTTGACGGCTGGCACGTTTCACACATCCCAGAGACTGCATTCTGTGGCTGTGATGGATCTCACGATGCTGCTTCGGTGGATCTAGACCCGAGGTCATCACCCGCTTGTGCATAAGCCTCCTTCTGACTCACAGATCCACAGCAGCAACAGTTTTGACATTGATCTTGGAGTAACTTAAGGGGCATATAGAGAAGCTACGCATCCCCCCTCTTGAGCCATCCTACAGTCGATGGTATGCGCTGGCTGGTCCAGGAACAAGATGTGTGTGGCGAGGATGTCGACTTACTCCAGCCTCAGGGTGGGGCCTTGCGGGCAGCTTAAAGGCGTTAAACTCGCGCAGGGGCCACGGGGGCCGGCCCGCCGCTGAACCTAATCCTGGTCCCGCTGGTCCATTCACAGACAAGGGGACTCAACAATGGGAAGAGAGCGGAGATGACAAGGTCGAGACGAGAGGAAGGAAAGAAAAAATCAGATCATTAGCTAGCCATATTCTATGCACAACAAATTTGAAGTTGAAATAGAGAAGACAGTGGACTCGAAACATGTCGTACAGCGGCCTTAGGTGGCGTAGCGGCAGCCATCCTACTGGCGAACAGGACGGAGTATATGTATGGGTATCGAACAACACAAAGGGCAAAAGGTCATCGCTTAGGAGGTGGAACCGTTGTAGCTCTTCTTTACAGTGGAACCAGAGGAGGCAGACGAGAAAGAGGAGGTCGTGTTATATACAGACCATGGATCGGAGACAGGCTTGATGTATTTGTTCAGGCCGAAGGGGTCGCTGTCTGAGTTGCTTGTGCTGGAAGAGTCGCTGGAAGATGTTAGCTCTTGCAGGTATGGTCAGGGATGCTGATGGGATCACTTACTGTGTAGATCGAGACTGAGTCTGGTCGTTATTGCTTCCCTGGTTCGAGGAAGAGCTAGATTTATCCGCCATAGTGGGTGATGGATCGATTCAATGGATCGAGGGATGAATAGTAAGGCAAAACAGCAGTTGCAGTGATGAAAAACAGGTGGGCAAAAGTCGAATTTATCGAGTGAAAAAGCCGGGTTTATACGGTAGCGCTTTGCGGTTTCATTCCGGTACGTACGGTTACCACTGACGGCCAAGCGGTTTCGTATCTAACGTTATACTGAATCAAAATACGGAGTACGCGGGATGTCATTTTACAGACATTGAGGCAGTGAGCTGTATTTTATAATGAGAGTCAAAGGAAGTAAAGGGCCTTTTTGGACGCATATGTAGAGTCGCCTAGCGTCGTACTTAAGGCCTGCAAGATAGTTCCGACTGCGCCATGCGATTTTTGCCTTTATAGGCGCCCGACGCTAGGGATGCCTTGCCATGGCTACAGTGAAGGCGGATCGTAATTTGTTCAGATAGGCGTCAGAACACAATCTCCTGGTATACACGCTCAAGGAGGTCAGAACCCTAACCTTTGTTTCGTTATTGATGGTGGCTCGCTTGACTCTTGATGAGGAGCCAAGGCATCCATATGTGTCGGGGAGTCGACGTGAAGCAGGCGGAGAGGCAGCGAAATAAACGACGTATACCAAGGAAATGGACGGACAACAGCAACATCAATAATATGGTATTCGTACAGGCGTCTGATATCGACAGCATTTCTTATTCAAATAGCGCCAAAATGGGGTGATAAAAAAGCGACCAAAAGAACTCCATGTCCATGTATAGGTAGTGTTACATGTGATTTTTGTGTTTCCCATTTCCCAGCCCCAAAACGCCTGTCCCCAGAATATAGAGGAAAGATTCAGTAGTAATAATACATAGGCAGATAAAGCAACTTTCACGCCGTTGTACCACAAAGTCGCAGGATCAGTTCATACCTACACCTCGTATTAGTTTCGCTTCACTTCAATAGACGGGAGAGAGAGAGAGGGTGTGAGAGACTTACATTCCGAACATGATGGCTGCGCTAGGCACCACTCTAAGTAAATGAGGCGTGAGGCCACCATACATACCCGCCATGCCTTCTTCCTTCCAGACGACCTTGAAGCACTGCGCTAGGCCGGTATACTTCAGCTGGGCTTTCCCTGAGCCTGCGGGGACGGTCGGAGCCTGACGCAGCCGCGTCCGTACCACTTCGTGCGGATAAGTCGCTACAGCAGCCACCAGTTTCGCGGATCCAGCCGCCACGAGCTTGCCACCCCACGATATCACATCGTCCATCCAACCGGGTACATGCGTTGGGTCAGCAGCCAGTCGGGCTTCTCTCTGCGCCAATACACGCTTCATTTGCTCGTACAACACCCACTGGAGCGCACTCTCGGACACACCCAGGTACGAAGCTGACAGGCCGCGATACAGGCCCTGGATGCCTTCATGGCGAACAGTCTGGCGTATACAGTCCAGGGAGTTGGCGTACTGCCTTTTCCTCACTGCCTGGCCGGTTCCCTGCTGTTGAGAGGCGTTTTTGTCCAGCTGCATTCTCGTCTTGACGAGCCAGATGGGGTTTGTAGCTGTGCCCGTAGCTATGCCTGCTATCGCCGCGGCGCCTAGATGAATGGCGACGGGGGACTCATTCGGATCGTATCGGAAGTAGTCGTTCAGTATCCTCTTGCCGTTGCCGTAGACGTAGAAATTGATGGCTCGTGCTGGCACAACGCCGGTCAAGTTCGGGCCTAGACCTTTGAACAGTGCCCGCCAACCTTCATGAACGTGTATGGACCGAAGCATCTGTATGGTCTCGCTGAAATGCACGGCTGCACTGCGAGTAAGGGCGGCAATCGACGAAGAGGCCGGGGGCAACGGGTGCTGCGCGCGAAGCTGTTGCAGTTGCGCCTGGTAAAAGTCCGACTGCAGACGAGTCTTGAGCACGTCCAGCGGCGACGTAAGCGTTGCAGCGGTCATTCCGCCGAGGCTTAATTCTCTTTGTCAGTGTGGTTCTTTTTTTTTCAAGCCCGTTAAAATGTCATTCGATGTTGGTGACATACCCGCCAGCAAGGAAATGAGCCCACGGCTTAACGGCCGGCTTCTCGACCTTCTCTCGTCCGGGCGCAACATCGACATCATCTATCTCGCCAGACTGAACGAGCACACTTCTGTTCGTATGTATCCTATCGCTGCCGTTGCTGTCGCTGCCGTGGCCTTTCAGGCGGGCGCCGCCGTGCATGCCGGACGCTGTAGAGAGGGAGGCCATTATCGCGCTGGACGCTGAAGCTGAAGCTGAAGCTGACGCTGACGCTGACGTTGACGTCTCTAGGGGATCGACAGTGCCATCTAGCCTATACGGAGGCAGATGCAAGTACCAAACGATTGCAGACTGAAGCTGGAAGATGCAAGATGCAAGATGAATGTTTTTTTTCTACTTCTTCAAGTCTTCAGGAGAAGCAAAAGAGGATGATTTTTTTCCTTGTTTTTCGACGTCATTGATTCGCTGGTTGTCAGCCGCAGTGGCGATTTTCCTATTGGCTGGTTTAGTTTATTTATTTATTTCTATATCTTTTTTTACTGACATTTACTATTAATATATTATTCTAACTGTTAAGATGAGATGATTCTACGATAGTGGCTGGTGGACTGTAAGAAGAGTAGTAAAGATTAGGATTAATCTGCAGTGAGGTCCGAGAGGAAGGCAAGCGTACAAAGGAAACGCGGGACAGTGGCAGCAGTCAAGCATGAGTGAGTGAACTTGGTGGAATTGACATCGACAGACAAGGTGATTGTAAGTATAAGACAAGGAAGAAGAAGAAGAAGAAGAAGAAGAAGAGAGGAAGAAGAGTAAAAGTAGGAGAATAAGGTGACAACGCTCTCAGTCCGGGATGGAAAAGGAGTAGGGAAAAGGTATCAAGTAGTAAGTATCATTCAACCGTAGAATCGAAAGAGGAGAGACAAGAAACAAAAACAGAAGAGAAGTGATCCTTCGATATAAACGTTAGAGGAAAAGACTCCTAGCCCAACGAAACTACAAGCGGCCAAAATGGTGGGATAGTCGTATGGCTGTCAGTTGGTAAGCTTAAAATAGAACCCAAGAACATTATTCAGATAGGGACTTACTTCACCAAGAAGCCGAGTGTTGTAGTATTGGATAGTTAATTGGCGAGCTCACAAGATATGTTCCAGGAGGGAAATATACTATCGCGGGATATATCGTACTAGAACCACAGTTTTCACCACACCTGTTCCCATCCGATACAACTCGGTTTATCGCACCGGTGTCATCTGTAACCCCATCGCATATTTCAAACGTGGTTAGTAAAATAGATACCGTATTAAAGAAATGGAATTTTCACCTTTTACTCCGTAATCTTTAACATTCCTCCAAATCTAAGATAAAAAACAAATTAATATAATTAACCGTCTAAGGAATTCATTTAAAGCCAAACAGCCGAGGCGGAAAAGGATGTGATTAATGGAAAAAAAAGTAGCTCACCCTGTACCCAGATAGCGCAAAGGGGCTTGTGCCTCGCCGAGGCATTGTGGCCATCTAGTATTTTTTGTGGCACATTTTTCAAATGCGGACGATTCTTTAACCTTGGGCGTAAGGGCTTCATATAGGCCATGTTCCGGGACTAGGTAGCCCTTTAGGCCAATTGGCTGAATATAATATGTTTGTTGGGGGGTATTTGTGTCGTTCCCTTTATTTATATATTTTTCCTGAATTTGAGACGCAACTAAGCTATGGCTTCTCGTTATACTGTTAATTGGATTAGATTTAGCTATTATTCGCGCTACGTCAATGAGATCGTGGGGAAGGTAATAGGTAAAGTCCTTATTCTTGACAGCATTAGCAACAGCGGAGGCTGCGGAGTTAGTAGTTTCTCTCTTGGCACTTGGATTGTTTCTAGCAAAAAAATCGGCAAAATCAAAAAAATTTTGGGCCATGATTGACGCAGATGGGAGATGAAATTCATATTTGTTGAAATTGGGATTCTCCAATCTTTTTTTTTATTGACCACTGAAAGCGCCTTCAGGGCTTTATCAACCAGTGCCTTCGGTTCAGCCGTTCAAGTACTCCCTAGAGTGGCGGCCTCATTAGATGTGTAGAATGAGTTCCATAGGCGATTATGTTGAGAACGAGGCACTTTCATGAACTACACCAAAAGGAGTGAGCCCACACTAATAGTGGGCAGAGTTGAAGTTTGACAATATGTTTGAGGAAATGGAGTCAAAAAAGGGGCTTGGGTGGTTAACTTGCTAGTTATGTAAGCTAGCTAAGTTACTAGCCTAAACCAGTTAGTTAGACCCTCGCTAAAACTTTGTTGACGCCGGGCCGCCAACGACACCCAATACTTTATTATTTGTACGCGGTCCTCCGTACCTGCGCATGGGGAATGAAAACGAGGTCATGCAAGCAAAATCGTTCATCGGTACGTACCCATTCAACGTGCATTTACTAAACCCGTACGATACTTGCATCCGTACGATGTGTTGCCTTGGTGCACCCCTACCATCAAGGGTTCCCTCTCAGCCCAGGCAAGAAGAATATCGATATGGGTGACCGGGTTTCGAAATAACACCTCTCGAAAACTGCTCCATGGAACTCTCTAGGCTTTACTAACTTCAGATCGGGCTCTTTTTGCTGCTCTTTTCTCTACGTTCTTCGTAGATTTTGAGGACTTTTCAGCGACAATATCAATAATGTGCTCCTACCTCTGACAGGAGGTGACCGCGCCCCCTTTTTGCAATGTGCTATGAAAGAGACCGTTGGTCAATTATAACACCCCGCAAAATATTCTTGCACTACGTACACTTACCCCTGGGTTAACACCAGTCTCTAATAAGAAGATGACGGCCGAAAAATAGAACTTTCCGAGCTGCTTGCTTTCGGATAGATGCATTCCGCGGGATGCAACCCATTTAAGTAGGATTCTACTTCCACGGATGAGCGGGTCTAGAGTACTCTAGCCCAATTTCCTTTGGCTATAAACCCCCATACCCCTATCTTTTGCGGTTATTATTTGCCATTGGATTGCGTAGCAAGGCGTCATCCCGAGCTAGATAATCCTGGTAGTACCCCTTATTCTTGGTCCGATAGATATGGAGATGGTAAGGTAGTAGAGGGGACGGTGGATAAATGCTGTTTGCCACTCATAGACGAGGTGGCTTTTTTCCCATTCCGTTTTCAATCCTCTCCTTTCTCCCTTTCTGGTTTTTAGTTGTATATCCAAGGAACGTTTAACACTAAGTGCTTGCATACCAATTTTCCATAATACCACAACAGGGCACATAAAAATGAGGTTCAGCCTCCAACGATCGTTATTGGCCATTTATTCCTCGTTCTTGTCTTTATTTTTGTTGTGTCCGCGTTTTCTAAAATATGTGGTATAAATAGCCCTTGCTCTACTGGTTGTTGCTCAAAGTTGATACCTCTGAATCTTCTAATACTTGTCCGAATATGGGCTAACCCGAAATTGTATCCCGAGAAGGTTACTGCGGAACTGGTGATATGTACTGTGTATGTTATCTACCCTATTCTTTCCGCAATCATTGACTAATGCCAGCCCCAGTCTCCTGAGAGTTGCGTTGATACTTTTGACTATGTCAGTGCCACCGGCGTTCCATACGATGAGAATATACACTGTCCAGAGGGATGTTGCTCTAAATATGGAGTTTGTGGTTATGGTCCTGACTGTAAGTGCTTAAATACTACAAATTTTCGTTGGAGTACTTTTTTACTAAACTTAAGAGTATAAAGTTTGCGCTCCTGAAAACTGTTTATCGGCTTGTGACCGTAAATTGGAATGCGACCCCGGAGATTTCGGACTACAATATACACAGAAATCCAAATGTCCCCTGAACGTTTGCTGCAGCAAGTATGTTTTTCGCCCCCATTTTTGACGGTGTCTAACATCCCACAGGTATGGCTTTTGCGGAACAACAAAAGCATTTTGTGGTACGGCAGAATAATTTTGTGTCTACCTCTTAAATTCTAAGAATTTTATTTAATGAGAATTTTACAGGAGACGCCAAAGTCGATCGCCCAAATTGCCCATGCCAGAGTACCCTACACAGGGTTGTTGGTTATTATGAAGGCTTTGGGACTAAAAGACCGTGTAATTCGATATGTCCCGAATTTATACCCCTAGTATTTACCCGTATCAATTATGCCTTCGCACTGATTGACCCGATCACATTTCATGTCGTTCCGGCAACTTTAAGCGATGTTGACCTTATGAAATGAGTCCCTGCACTTAAGAGACGTGACCTCTTCCTCAAAGTTAACATAGCACTCCGGGGCTGGGCGTTCAACGATCCTGTGCCAACAGCCACTACTTTTTCAGATCTAGCTGGGGCTGAAGCTATCCAACATAACTTTTCTAAATCGCTTATATCATTTATGGCGACATATGACTTTGATGGAGTAAATATTTACTAGGAGTATCTTGTTAATAAGGATAGGGGCGGCCGGCCAGAAGACTTCGAAAATTTCACAACGTTTATAGCCAATTTGAAAAGCGCTCTCAAGTCAACCAGCGGTAGAGAGGAGCCCAGCCTTACTCTCCCTGCATGATACTGGTACCTCCAACATTTTGGTTTGAAAAGTCTATCATCCTATATTGACTACTTTAACGCCATATCCTATGGTCCACATAGGACTTAGGATAAATATTAGGACCATATATATACGGGTGTGTTCAACCCAACCCCTTAAAGCATCCCCTATCGAACCCACGGAAACATGTAGTAAACAGAGTGCACCACCAGTGGAGCGGAAATATAACCACCTTAAAAGGTGCTCCGGTTCAAATGGTTGACTGCTAACATCAATCCTTAGAAAGAAAGGGAATTAAATATACTCTAAAATTTGATATAGGGAAGAATTTGTAAACCAGAAAGCGATAAGGCTCTGCTTCAATGTCATTGTGAACCATTGACGGGGTAAATTGTGTATCCGTGAACACGGTTGGATTAGCACAAGAGTGAGCTCGCAATGAAAGGGGTCCAGGGACTGAATCAGAAATGCTTAGCAAGGCGAGAGACTAATAGGACAATGACCTGGCCAACGAGGGGTGGGTAATCGTTTCATTAGCAGCTAAAGCCATGCATAATCGTTCTAATTTAGCTAAGATTATTTTCAGGCTGTATCATTAAAAGATGAAGAACATTGGAAGCCAACGGAATGAAAGGACAAAAGACTTAGGGAAACAAAAACATCACGACTCGAAGTTTCCTCCTTGTAGTAAAATCTAGATGCATCCTCCTCCCGAATCTAGATTGATGATTTGGTAGAAGGATAAGGACGCTTTGGATGAGGGTTTGTAAAGGGGAGAAGGTCTTTTGAATCCCTCTTCCGATTTGGAGTTTTTGGCCTCTTCCCAGAGATACTATAGGCCTCCAAGTATGATTTATCACGATATGCCCTCTTCTCGAGTGAAACCCAAAGACTAAAATGAAGTATTAAGCTCTGGACAGCAGCAGTGCGCCATTTTTGTATGAACTCCCAAGCTGACTCTCGATCTGCTCCTAAGAGAATATCCATTTCGATTTGGACCTGTGGGTCCGTGTAGGGCCGCTGCAGGAGGATTGCATCTGAAAGAGGGCTTAGCCCTCGTAATGATGTTGCAATGTTATAAGGAAGACGCGCCGTTGTTAGTGGTTTATTTCTAACGATGTCCCATTTTACTGCTTGGTACTTATCCCTCAATTGCTTGACTTGTTCTTCCGTGGTTAAATTACCAACACAATTCAGATCATTTTTCCAAATAAGCGGAAGAAGAGTCGGCTGGAACAGAAGTCCATAATCGTTTTTTCTTGACGTAATATATACCTCATTTTGGCCATTTTGTGTGATACGAGATCGATTAAGGAGGCCGTTAGGAAGATTGTTGGGCCTCTTGGAAACTGGCTGCGGGAGGGCAGCAAGTTCTTTCTTGCCTTTCTGGAGGCAAACATTAAGGATCCATAGTACAGGATCCACCTCTAGCAATTGGTGGAGAAGCCCATACTGGTGGCTTTGTAAACTAGCCTCATTGCCGTCGTGGTGGAAGGTGAACATTTTGGCTTCAAGATCCGCAAGCTGATATAATGATTTGCCTTTGTATATCGAGTCATCCCACCAATTGAATACATGGTCGATGTTCATATAGCCAGTCGCAAGGATTTCTTTGACCTTTCCCGGGCTAGAACAGCCCATGCGACGAAAAATATCGTCTAGGATGCTAGCAATTTCGTTCTTAGAGAGATCAATAGCCACAACGTTGATCCGATCCTGAACATCAGGTTCAGTTTCAATGAGACTAATGTCCGAATCTGTATCAGTCTCCTGGCCCTTATTGTTCGATTCTATCCCTTCGGCTTCGGAGCCCATGCTTTTCTCTTCATTCTGAATGCCGTGCTCAATTTCGTTGAAAGTAAGATTCGTATCTGGCCCCTGATCCTCTTTGTCTAATTCTATTTCTTCCGTAGCGTGCTGCCTCATGCTACTCTCTGCATTCTGGATACCGGATTCATTATCAGCTTCTGAGCGCTGTCCCTTTGGTAGGTCTAGGCGATTCTTGGGAACACCACTTTTCCAAATTCTTCCCGCTTTTCCTGCTTTCTCCCCAGCCCGTTGCGTCTTTTTAGAAGTTTCGGCTTCAGCGGCTTCGGCTTCGGCTCCGGCTGCGTCTTGTGGATTAGGTGCTTCATCGTCATCTCCAGCTTCGGAGGATGACAAACCGCTGTCGCTCGGCTCTTCGATGATAGCGCGAGGGAGCTGGGGAATATCTGGACGGGAATTCCACTCAAATGACGCATGATCTGTAATTAGATTAGTTGAGCTGTCTGTAGTTCGTGCCCGAAGTAAACCATAAGAGTCTAAGTAGACTCCAAGCGAATCAAGCTTGTCAGCTGTAACCGGCTGTAGCGCTGGAGCCTCCTTTGATATTCCTATGGCCCTTTGTAAATCAACCAGACCTGGTTCCAGGTATAGTGATTTCCCTGAACGCATATTGTCAAGCCGTTCAACCACCGCATGCACAATAAACTCGGCCGCACGGGTATAGTCCGGACATTGGCGCGCTAACCTTCCAGCTGCTTTCGTCCAGCCCTGAGCTGAGTTGAATTGTAAGAAGTGGCTGCCATTCTGTCCCCAGGCTTTTACCACCGATTGCCGTGCTTTTTGTACGGCATTTTGATTCTTGTTCGCATTTTTGATTGCCGCCGTGACTTTATGCCAAATGTGGCGATACTCGGGGGTTTTTTTGAATTTAGGAAAATATGAGCCGAGAGTCTCTTGGCCCACTGCATATATATCGAGAAGGACCTTATCCCTTGCGTTTTCGTGTTGTTCGACGGCCGCAGTTACCTGCGCTACGGCCTCGTTCAGAAGTTCGATATATTTTTTTTGGGGGGCAACTCGTTTGACCATCTTCTAAGAGCCAAATTTAGCTCTTCGGGGGTTCTAAAAGAACCCCCTGACACAACAACAGCGGGTGATACGGGCACAGGGGACCCAATAATAGCCTGGGTCTCCATAATCTCCCTGTTGTCAGAAACCTGGGTCTCCATAATCTCCTTGGCGTCAGAAACCTGGGTCTCCATAATGTCCTTGGCGTCAGAAGCTTGAAATCAGTCGACGTTTAATATAGAGACAACCACTGGTTAAATACTCCTGATCGCTCAGTCTGGGTTGCGAAGTAGATGTAGTTGTTGTATTGAAGAACTTTGCGGAGAGTAAGTTCGTTGAAAAAAAATTCTACTTGAATAGAAAGTCGAACTGGTTTGATCGAAAACAGAGCCTCCTGAAAGAGCTGTTTAAAAAAGCTCTCAGAAACCGTATCTTCAGTCAAAATCTCACTTGACAAGGGGTCACTTGTGACTAGCAGCGTTGTCAAAGCATCTGAATTCTGTTTGGTTTAAATGAGAGGTGAGGTCCTATATCGGATACAAGTGAGGTTAAAGTAAATGGTAATATAAAAGAGATATAACGGCAAGGTACAAAGGGGCTAGCTTGCTCTTGATCATTATCAGCAAGTTTAAAATATGTAGAGAATCTGACTATCGGGGAACAGGAGATTTGGATTGGGACCATTCTGTATCGGGGGTACAGAATGAATTTTCGAATGTAATTTAAAGGGTTGATGGGCGATCCCCATAGGAATTGTTACCAAATATGGGTAATGGGGATTATGAACTTATGCCCATCCCTGTTAACAAACACCATACCCCAGATAACGAAGGCTAGTCGTCCATATCCTTGACAGAAAAGCCTCAACGAGGGCATATTGTCCAGCCCGGCTTTCATCGTTGCAAAAATACTCGAAACAATTCCATGTAACTTACCTTTGAGTGGTTTTATCGTTACCACTACTAGAAAATTGAACGGAATACTCATAGAACTGGGGCCGAGCTGCGGCCTTGTTGTAGATGGATTCACTCCAACAAGGAGAGGCCTGAACAAATAGGCTGATAAAGAGAGTAGAAAATACGAGACGCTATTGGCTGAAGGAATAATTATATACCCTTTCCTGCAGCTTCGTACTTGATATCATCGTCCGTGTCATATGGAAGGCTTTTGCCTGTAACTATTACCATTTAGTAGAAATAAAATTTAAGATGTATAAGGTAACTATACCCTTTTTAACACCACTTTCCCTAACTCTTGCAACAAGTTCTTCGTAAGAACAGTTATTTATTTCCTTAAGGGTCTCTTGGGCCCAGAGAAACCGCTCGTTCTGAATTTCTGACTCGGTTTTAGAGGCGGATGGTGCGTTCTTGGAGGGGGGGCTGGAAGTGTTGAAAGAGGCTCCGGCATTGCTAGAAAGTGCGGACGCATCGGTAGAACTGGCTGAGGTATGAGAATCCCCTGATGATACGCTGGAATACTCCGCTGGAATCCTTGCATCGGTGGCCTTTGGGCCTGGTCCTACTAACCTGGACATCCTGGGTATCTCAGTTGTTTTGCCGGCCGATTGAGACATAGGTCACATAGCAATCTTATTGAAAAAATCGACTGACAGAAGAGTCCAAGCAATTAGGATAGAGTAGTAAGGAGAAAATTATAACAGAAGCTCTATAAAGAGTACGGTAAGATGTTTTAGGGGCCAGAAGATATTAGCCGATTCTGGAGCTGAAAAGTAGATATGCTTTGTTGATGATATTGACGACTTGATGATGGCATTTGGGGTGACGCAACATGTAAGTTAGTGGCGTCAAAATGTATTAATTAACTACGTGACTGGTTTATATAAAACCGTTAAACCACCACTAGTAGATTCTATCCGCCCACGATAGACCGTAGTTAACTAGCTATCCAAATTCCGGAGCACTTATGCAGATGCAGGGATACTCGAATTTTTTCCTCCGTCGAGGGCTCTATATGTCTCTAGAGACATACTAATCCCAACCCCTAGCTTTATTACTATACTATTAGTAAATACTCTAAAGAGTTCCTAGATTAAGTATGTAAGCGTCTAGATATCTCTAGGGAAAGAAAGAGACGGGCCTACTTTTTTAGTTAAGAAGCGAGACTCCGGTAGTGATATTAAGAGTAGTATATACAGTGAATGGTAGACTCGTTGACACCGGCGATGCAATGCTCTGCATGTCTAAGAGAAAAGGTCGGGGAAAAAAAAAGGGGGGGAGTGGGAATCAAGAATCAGAAAAAGAACAAAAGGGAATCAAGAATCGGAAAAAGAACAAAAGGGAATCAAGAATCAGAAAAAGAACAAAAGGGAATCAAGGGTAGTACTTGGTGTGACACAGTTAATGCGTTGAACAAGGAGATCACCTCGTCATTCGTCCGCTGTTGGGATAGGGGTGCAGCTGGCGCTGCTGGGGATGTTTTCTGGCTGTTCGGTTGAGACGGGTGGTCCTCCATCTCTCATACCAGACTTCACGGCTGGCTTCACGCAGGTCTCCTCGCCACTCGCTGAAGACGTTATCCTTCAGTTTGACAAAGTCGCAGTGCTCTGGGTTGTACGGGTCAGCGAAACCCCAGGGGAAACGACGGCCGACCTTTTCGTTCTTGTTGTTCAGCGAGTGAGGGTCCGGGGAGAGGATGGAGAGAGGGAAGATCTGGTCGGCGGCCGATTCTTCTTCTGGCTCCTTAGCCGCTGCGCGGGCAGGCTTCTGTTTCTGTGCTTCCTCTGCATTGTCACCAGCGTCTTCCTTGCCGCCGTTATCAGCAGCCGGATCTTCCATCTGTTTGAGCAATTCGTCTTCGTCGTGCTCGTCAAACTCCTCGGAGGCGGAGTCTTCTTGCTCGTCCAGCGCCAGCACCTCCAAGGGGTTGATACCGGCCTGCTTCAAGCTGTTTCTGACCGTCTTCTTCAGGAATGCCATGTGGGCAGACGTAATGGTGTCGGCCTTGCTGATGATGGGGATGACGGTGGTCATGCTCTGCATCGTGCGGATAACCTGTATGTCCAGCTCGACGTCGAGTCCGCCGATGTACTGGCTGGCCTCCTTTGCCTGGCCTCGAGTGATGGCCTTCTTCGCCGCCTCGATGTTTGCATCCAGCCTGACCGGGTCGAGGATGAGAAAGGCGCAGTGGATGTGGGTGTCACGGACACCGGGTGCACGAACGACCTTCATCTCCTCGGCAAAGGTGTCTTCGAACTTGCTCTCCAGGAAGCCGGTGATCTCACGCAGCTGCAGGTCGACGATGTTCTTCTGCAGGCCCTCCGAGTCCCACAGCGTCAGCCCTATGCGTTCATTGTCGATCTCGGACTCGAGATAGTGGGAGGTGAATGGGGTTCCGGGCGACTGCGGACGAGGCTCCTCTTCCTCCACCGGCTTCGTCGGCCGCTTGCTCGGTGGCAGGGCCAGCGAGGTGCGCAGGAACTCGAGGAACGAGGTCTTGCCGCAGTTCTTCCCCCCAACCACAAGGATACTTGAAGAGATATATTATATTAGCCTTGACCAGAAACAAAAAAGCAAAGAAACAAAAACAAATGAACGTCTTATACTCACTTGTACGGAGTAGGGTCCTTTCGTCTCCTGACCCGCCTGGGGCTGTTGATCGTGCTCACGGCGCTGCTGGCATAGCTGTAGCGTCCACGGTGCGTCATGCTGTCCGAGGCAGCGTATGGGTCCCTGGACAAGGCGGCTCTGGCGCCTGGCGGCAGCGGGGGAACCGGCGGGGCGTCCATCACGGATCTCAGCTGGCTCGTCGACATGGCCTGCGGCTGCTGGAGGTGCTGGAGATGCTGGAGATGCTGGAGATGCTGCCCGTACGAGGAGGCCGCCCGCTCGCCGCCGAAGGAGTTCAGCTGCGGCGTCGGCGAGAGGGCCGGCAGGCGCGGCGCATGCTTCGACACAGCGGCGGCTTCTCGCTGGCGGCGCGCTTCTTCCTCCCTGGCCTGCTCGCGCAGCATTTTCTTGCTGATCTTGTTGGACGACTTGCGCTCCGTGACGTGCTCGGTCGACTTGGAGCGGCGCAGGAAGCCCAGCGAGGGCCGTCGGGGTCCCGCGGCGGGCTTGTTGGCGTTGGCGGCGGTGGTGGTGGTGTTGGTGCTGGTGGTGGTGATGCCGTTGGAGTCGCTGGGCGTGCGCGGCCGCGAGGGAAGCGAGGCCTGCATGGTGTCTCTCTTATTTATACAGCTGGCCTTTGTTCCTTGATCTCGCCCTTCAGTAGTATATCAGATCTCCTGCGTTGTCCGGGCTCCGGCGTCCTGGTCGGCGGTTGCACTGTGTGATGCCCGTGGTATCTACTACATCCAAACGGCCAGTCAGTATCGACGTCGCCAGCACAGCGTCACCGGGAGAGGCAGCAGGCTGTTCAATTCAGCTCGGCCAGGCGTACCACTGCTGTATCCAGAGAGAGTCCGGAGTCCCAGCTGTTGATTCTCGTTGAGTCCGCCGTTTCTCTGGACGAGTGTCCTGTCTTATGTAGACGCCGACGGCCACACGCAAGCCAGCGTCGGACAGCCAGACACTGACAGGCCGCTGCGATGGGTCGCGCGATGCAATGCACACTTGCAGTCGGCTCGAAGGAAGCAGGAGGCCCAGGCTCGCCGTCCTGGCGAAGGCGCTGACGCTGTGGCTGTTTTGTATATGCGTAGTTAGTTCTTCCAGCCCCCGTCAAGGTCAATTGACGACGCAGCGAGTGACAAAAGATCCGGCCGGCAGAGAAGGAGAGAAGAAGAGAAGAGAAGAAAGGAAAACGAGAGGACGGCGAGGACGAAGACAGCGAAGAAGAAGAAGAAGAAGAGGAAGAAGAAGAGGGAGAAGAAGAAAAGTCCAGGGGCGAGATGAAGGGGGCTCCAAGGCGAACCCGCTAGAGGCCGTCTTAGTGCCCTTTTTGCGCAGTTGCGATGTTGACGGTAATACTAATAATTACGAAGGAGGCGACATCCACTGGGCGGTTACATGTTATTTTTCGTCTTCGTTGCCGCCGTCGTCTATTCTCATATGCTTGCCTTGATTATCGTCTCTATATTATTATTCATTACGCTGTTATTGCTTGCTCTATCGCGGTGGTGTGGATGTTTGGAGTAGAAGAAAAACGGGGGCTCGTTCAGGGGTAAAAATGGCAGGATATCAACACGCGCTCGCAGCCACGGCTCATGGAGTTCGAGACAACCCATCGGCAGGCCAACCAGGCGGCAGGAAACGCCAGAAGACAGCTGGAGAGAGGCTCCGCAGCTCTGTCCGCGAGCACTGATTCGTCCAGGCCGCTGTGTGGCCGCTGTGTGCTCGTGAGAGTTGCCCATCTCCTCTTTAGCTTCGATCCCGGCTCGACCTGAAACGCACTAACAGTGACAGCTCAGGGGCATCTCCGGCCACGCAGTTCCGGAGAAGCATGGTCTTGTGAAGAGAATAATGCTTGGAAGGAGTGTTGAAGGCTGAAGGTTGCAAGCTGCAAGCTGCAGGTTAAACAGAAGACATATTTAGAGGGGGTATAGGAAACATTAACATCATCGTCACAGCATGAACATGAACAACATGGAAGACACGGAAGCAAAACGAGAAAAAGAATCATTCGAGAGGCTTGGAGTGCTTCTTGCTCTCGCGCTCGAGCTCCTCTTTGACAAGATCGGCCAGCATCTGCTTCCTCTTCTCTTCCTTTACAGCAGTCACCCACGGCAGGACGAGGCACAGCTTCACGCCGCTCGGACACACCTTCTCCCTCACGAGCTCCTTGAACATTGGGCCATCGGGTCCCGTTGAGTACTTGCGCTGGCCAAACAGCTCGATCTGGCCAGGAGCATCGTCCGGCAGCTGCTCGTCGCCCCAGTGGCCCTGGAAGTATAGCCAGTTGGTAGGCGTGTTGGGATCATAGGGAGTGAACAGGCCGGTTGTCGAGGAGTAGGAGTAGACATACGCGCTCAGGGTGGGATCCCATAGCGTGCCTTCGTCCGTCTCGTCCTCGAGGAACCCGGCGGGTAGATCTAACCCAGGAATTGTGTGGTCATGGGTTCTACCAAGGTTAGCACACATGGTTTTCTGCTGGACAAGAAGGCTTGTGATGGTGGGAGCATATAGGTAAGAGTTACCCGGCAGTGGCGTAGACGGCGTGGGTACCGTTGCCGCTGAAGCCAATTGGCCTCACTCCGCGCTTGTCCGTTGCGCTGTACTGGAATGCCTGGCCAGCGGCGTGCTGGCTGTACCAGATGGCCTCCGGCTTGCCGTCGCGGAAGCGGATCATATTGTGTTCCCTACCCGACGTTATTATTATTATTAACAGTCTACAGCGCATGTTCGTACATAGTTATACGTACCAGTCACCAACATGATCGCCGAACTCGATGCCCAGCACCGTGTTGCCCTGGTTGTACCTGTTTTTACCCATTCCTGTCAGCACCGGCTTTTGGCTTCGCAGGTCCACTGGCGTGCAGTTAATAGTAGTAGTATGACCGTTGCTTACGCATAAAAGTAGAAATAAAATGCATCAACGGTCTTGCCTTCGTCTCCGTGTTCCCGAACAACGATTGCAGACGAAACCGCTCCCTCGGTTTTGCCGTCCTTGTTCGGTTTGACGCCTCTGAACCAAGCTGGCAGAGCCTGGATGCCCTCTTTCGACGTGAGACACACCTTGTTCCCGCCCAGCTTGTTGAGCTGGTCAAGGTTATTGAGTGTGATGTCTGCCGGAACATTGGGAATGGCAACATGATCTATCATGGGAATCGAGTTCTTCAGCTGTGCTCCGATATCTGACGGCTGGTACGGATCTTGCGAGTGTATCCATATCAACGGAGCTATCCTTTCGTCAGCCAGACAGCACCAAATGGGGCAAAACATCGGACGAAAAGAAGGATCTAAAGAAAAAAAAAATCCTACCATATTTCATGACATAGTCCGGCACAGTAGCAGAGGGTGCTGGAGCAAGACACTGCTCTGCAGCGATGTAAACCGACGCAGCCGAGATGTTTCCTATTCCCAGGCCGAGTATCAACGCTGCCAGTGCGGGCCAAGCGCAATGCGACGGGCCACATTTACCCATCCTTTATCGATAGTTAACTAGTTACCGCCGCTGGTCCTTGTATCGATCCGGTTCTCTTTGCTTTTCAGCGAGCCCAGAGGCAGCCGTCTTGTCGTCAAAAGTGCTGAGTACGGAGTCGCAGGCTATAAGTATGTTTCTTGCAGGGCGTCTTGCCCGCGGTGGCCGCAGGACTGGGTCGTGATGCCCTCAGCAGATCAGCCACGGCGGACAGGCAAGGACAAGGCCGGACTCGCTCACGTTAACCATCGCATCACGTTGTGCCGGGCGCGGCCCTCTATGGCAGCGTGATAGATCGACTTTGGGGCCAGCGATCCGTTCGTACGCCAGCACCGGCCATCGTGGTTGTGGCATCCTTGCTTTGTCTCGGGGCTTGCGTCTAAATGGATCCCTTGAGATCGCGGGTCCGGCTGACGGCCTCGGGGGGCGGTTCCAACTGTAAAATCGTTGTGCCTGGGCCGCCGGCGCATCGCCACCACCCAGCAGCAGCGGCAGCATCAGCAACACCACCTATCGACCTTTTTTTCGCATGAAAAACGCTCTGGAAGAGAAGAGGATCGTCAGTAAATTCGATTTCAACGATGAAATTCGGGCGTTTTTTCGACTTTTTCCTGTAGATAAAATTTCCTCTTTGGGCCATCAAGGTATTGCTTATGTAAGGAAAAAGATGACAAATATCAAATGTCACATGATCAGGAATAATAGTCGTTCCTCCCGAGAAAATGATGACTAAATAATTACTCATCATGCTTATTTATCATGATTATTCAGCAGCTCCCTTGGGGAAAAAGATTGAAGAAGAAGAGAAAGAAGAGAAAGATGAAAGGACAACAAGGATGCGAGAAGGGGAAGAGAGGGAGACAGACACAAAGGGCGAAGGGGAGGAGAAGACGGAGACGAACACGACATCCCCATCCTTCAGCTTTTCTCCTTTTGCATGACAGCTTCACGTCAGAAGCGACCAAAGCGGCGGTGGTACGGCACAATGCACCATGCACCGTGCCGGCGTGCTGGATATTATGAGAAGCAGTCGGCTGTTTTGGGCGGTGGGTGGGATACGAAGAGGGCGTTGCCTGCTCGCCTGAATGGCAATGCTAGCTGGACCAGTCAATCAAGCTGGCGAGAAGAGTTGCTCTGGATGGCCTCTGAATGGCTGCTGCTCGAAGGAATGCGCACACCCACGCGGAATAGACAAAGCGACCTTGTACTTGACATATGCATGCTATGGGGAAATATAGTTACATATGTGCGTATGTATGCTGTATGTATGCTGTGCATCGCTAAATAATAGTAATTTACATACTGGCGAATCTTCTCTAGTCCTGGGTGATCAGCGCGAGCGGCCGGTGCACATTCTTGACCACGGATGTAATTGTCTTCTTTAGGATAATGGATGGGCGTGGGCCAGGGGGGTCCAGTAACAAGATGGAGTACGGAGTACTTGGGACATGAAGGGTGCCATAAAATATCACCTCTATCCTGTGTATCATGTCCTCTACGTCTTCCCGGAGACGGCACGCAGGGAAGAGGGGGTGAAACGGAGGAGACGGAGATGGATTGGCCAAATGTACATATGTTTGTATGTAAGTGGTGACAGCTGCCGGGCGTTGCTCGCGGTCTTGATTGTTATTTTCTTCAAAGTGTAGGCGCAGTACATGTACATGGATATGTGCGCTGTTGCAGGTAAGATAGTACGTACATGTACCCATCAGTGATATGGGTATCCATGGCATCCTAGTGGGTGTCACGCATAGTTTAGTGGAAAGGCCACCCTGCCGTGTGGGTAAGGGTGTGAAAGTGGAGAAAGACAGTTGCTAAAGGAGGGTGGCATCTTTCTCCCCCCCAACACACACGAGAACATGTAGGAGTAGGTAGAAGTAGAGTTAACTCTTTGAATGTATCCTGCTGCCAGGATATTGCAAGCTGAAGAAACGCAAAGCTACTCCGCCTATCTTCTTTCACTTCGGGTATGTAGACTCGGCTGTACCTCGGATTCAAGTTCACTCAACCATCCTTCATACTAGTCTTCTCTCAATCGGTCTCCTCGTTTTCCACAAAAAGCAGGTCTGTCCGCTATGGGCTAGAACAGGTCTCCAAACGGCACCGGCACGGCTAACTCCCGCTCGCCACGATATTGGGTAGGCTAAAGCCGATATCCTGGCCCACAGATGCCGTGCCCTATCAATTTCTCTGGTAGGCTAGGGTACCGATTAGAAGGTTGCCGACCAAACAAGCGACAAAGAGCAGAGTTAAGCCAGGAACATGGAAAAAAGAAAGCAAGGCGTGTATCTTAGTTCCATGGTTAGGGTTAGCTAGTTAGTTTGCTTTTGAGCGTTTTTTATTTTGTTTTCCTGATGGCTTGCAAAACTTCCCTAGGCCTCCACCATCACGCGTCCGTCCGCCTGGGGCTGACAGGCACGTACAACCAAGGCAAAGCCCCATAAGGTTCAGAGCTGGGCTGCGGCAATCATGACCAGTCCAGCCAATACCAACGATCCGGAATGACGGGAATACGCCAATAAGACCAACCAACCAGATGACCGGCTATAGATCTCTGCAATGCACTATCCTCCTGATTTCAATAGACTAGACCAGACTGTGCCAGGTGGCTATCTGCAAAGAACTGATTCTTTGCAGCACAGGCTTGTAAGTGGGCTTGGTTTTGGGCGATACACGATTGTTCCGTCCGGTTGCTTGCTTGGGTATAGATAGGTCAACCGGCATGGGGGTACATGACACATCTGAGGTAGAAGTAGATAGTTATGCATTCTGCGAGTATCCCAGAGATTTAATAGTATTCCAAATTTTCGCTGGGGTTATGGACGGATGTTCCACCAAGGACCAGCCAGGTGGCTATGTGGAGGTGTCAACAGGGGAACAGCCTTCGCTGATGCGAGCCCGGCACATCAAACATTAGTAACTAGTTAGTGATCGGAGGAAGCCATATGTTAATTACAATATACGTACAATATCATGTCGATAACGGACCCTGGCGGTAGACTAATGATGGGCGGGGAAAAGGGCTCGTATGTATGCATATATGTATGCACCAGGGGTCAACTCGCATCCCAACCTCAAGCATGTACCATTATAATAGCTGGTCGGGGGGTTATAGGACTCGGTAACTCATCGCCCACACCCTTAACTTCTGGTCCTGGCTGATTATCGTAGTATCTTGGATCCTCTGCCGTCTGCTGTCCTTTTTGTTCTGTTGTTGTTGTTGTTGTTGTTGTTGTTTGTAGTGAGTTTGGTTTTGATTATTTAATCCGCCTCGCTAGAAGGTTTCTCGGCCCGAGCCCAAAAGGGTAATCGGTCACCTCCAGCCGCCAACGTCAACTTCGACGTCAACTTCAACGTCGACCATCAACGTCCTGGCTTCACGAGCTTCGCCGACATCAATCTCACCTCGCCGTTGTCTGCATGATATCCTACGGTGCAAGGTGTCTCAGTTGGCGGCTTACAGCAAAAACAGGGAATATAAAACGAACACGAAAGAAACGTCAAGTTGACACAGGATGCCTGTAGTTTGAACTAAAATGGCGCTGGCTGCCCACATAAGACTTGCATACACATCTTGTCATTGAAAAAGCGAACCAAGAGTTCAGAGTGCTGTGGTGTGAACTAAAAAAAAAAATGATAGTGAACTTGACGACGATGTCAAAGGTGCGTCTTATCCGGATCGACCGGGAGTTGCAGATGGCCTTTAAATCAGTCCACTGGAAAGGCACAAACTCTCTGCCCCTCTTCCCCCCCTGGTCCAACAGAACGGTGACAGTCAACTAGATTAAAAAAGAAAGGAAAGGAAACACAACAAACGAGAAGAGGAAAAAGAAAATTGTTGTTGGTCAATCTTGGCGAACTGCCGTCTGATTGTTTATGTACAGCATCTGGAGTACCGAGTACACGCAGGCTAACTAGTTAGTTGCCGTTACCTTTTTTTATCCATCGCTAGCCACCCTAGCACCGATGGTGGAGATTTGCCAGTGCTAGTCTGTTGGCTGAGTGAGAAGAGGGCGTCTTCGTTAAGCCCAGGTGCCTCAGAGCACTCGGAGAAATCTGGGAAACGAAGGGGGAAAAGCCAACTGTGTCCAGTGGGAAGTATGACGGAGCCTTCTAACCCGAAGGCGTGAATCCTTTTGAGAACAAACTAAATATGGAGCAACTAGTTTTGCTTTGTTCTTCTCCAAAAATAACGTTCTTGGGATGGGAGAATTCTAGACCAAACCATTCCCTCCCCAGGCCATCACACATGATGTGCCTCCGCTTTTACCTTTTCTAAGGATTGCGAAAATGAACAACAACCAGCCAATCTTGCCAATACAACCTCTAGGTGATACTAATATTTTTATAGTACAAGGATTAAGGTGGGTGAACTGCAAGGCGCAAGGTCAGGGTTTCTTCCCTCGCAAGGGGAGACCGCTCGGATATTTTCTTTTCTCTTCTCACGCACTCTTTACCTTCCTCCTTTTTCGGTCGTATCATGGCTCGAGCTCTGGTCTCGCCCTCTTTACCGCCCCCCCCCCCCCCCCCCCAACAAGCCATTCAATCACGAATGATCTTCATGACCAGATTCTAGCCTAATAAACATTCAGGAATACGGGGTATTTGGAAAAGCATTCGATGTCTTCCCTAGCTAGCCGCCCGATCTTCGAACTATCTCGACAGCTATCCCGTCTCCAAATGCCCTCTTCTTCGTCCACCTTTCATGACCGATCACATATGCATTCACCCTGATTCGGAATAAGCCATCGGCTACGTTTGGTCTTACCGCGATAGTCCGCCGTTTCGTCACATTTCAACAGCATTTTTCTTCCTGCGTCTGTCTGCATTCTCCACAAACGCAATCGATCAAGCAATTCCCCACTGGAATCGAAGGAGGCTATCCGGCTCCGAAGTATCATCCTATCCGCGGCTGTTTTACGGAATTTCCCAATCAAGCAGCCTGCGAATTGACAAACTAGCTTGTGGTCTTACCTTAAAATCGTTTATTTTCAAGTTGCTTTTTCTCCAGTTTCTTTACTTTTTCCTTTCTATTCTTTCTTTTTTTTATTAGCTTGCCCTGCTCTTCTCTTTTCATTCTCGCGAGAGAGATTGTGTTTATTTTTACCCCATTCACCGTTACCCCCTTTTATACTTTCCTCGTCTATCGCATTTTATATTTTATCTTCCCGCTGCCTTGTGGTAGTTACCTCCATGCTTTGTCATTTTGCCCAGTTTTTTTATTTATTATTTTTATTTTTTTTACACACCGACACCTACATCCGCTCGTTCCTCTGCGTGTCGAGCTGCGGATCTCAGCGAGAGGCTGACAGAAGCGCCCAGGTCCTTTCTATATTCCGCACCGCTATCTGGATACCTCACCCTCACAGGCAGACCGCATTATCCCTCTCTTAATATCTTAAAGTTGCGCCGTCTTGCAAATATTTGTTATTTGCAGTTAATCGGGCTGCTGTCCTATTGATTTGTAGCATACTAACATATAGTAGTACCTATTTCTATCCTGCATGTACCCGGATTGTCTCCTGCGTTTGCTTTCGCTCCTTTCTTTTCTTTTCAGCACTCGCGTCCCATTAGTATCACTGCTTCGCTACCAGTCATCCTTCGGAAGCTGGAGTCCCACGTTTCTGAAAGGGGGGGCGGCCGCCAAACGCAGGATACAACAAAAGGAATAAGCCCAAAAGCAAATGGGGGACACCTAGAGGTTGGCAAGCCTCTATTATCATTGGAGGGCAGCAGGTGCATGGAGGTGGGCGAATTTTGACAGATAAGGGACGGACGCTAGGGAGTGTGCGTTGTGACGTAGCATACAACAGCACAGAGCCTGGCCTGTTTCGAAACATACTGCGATACCCTTCTGAGATTGTGAACATATTGCCATTCTTACCGGCAATGCTACCGCATATTATATGTGTTTTGTGGAAGGCCAACTTTTGTTTTGAATCCGCTACACCCTACTCAAAAGCCCCATCCACATCCTATTCATATTGATGAAGTTTACGGCTTTTGTCTCGTTGAATCTTCCAAGTTACTCCGGTTCATAGACTCACATTTTTCGCCTTTGCTGGAGGATGGTTCCTTTCCCTCCCATTTCGACTGCTGCCGCACCTACGTTTTACTAATATCCTTCTGCCTCTTCTCCAAAATGGCACCGCCACCTGTTGCAACCCCTTTAAAATCCCATCTCACGCTCGGTCTGGAGGTCGAGTTCTATGCTGCTCTCAAGTCTCTTGCTTTCAATGGTATTCTCGCCCATGGTTGCATGGCAAGCCTGTTAAGTAAACGACTACGACACCTACGACTATCTGGCCCCGACGGCTTCGGCTCCAAATTTAAGGTCGTCGTCGAGTCAAAAAAATACCCATGTGACGCCAAATATATAGACTATGCCCAGTGGACTCTGACTACAGATGCTACAGCACAACCCCAGAATCCAGAATGGTTTGTAGGTTGTGAGTATTCAAACATTCCGTTATCCCGGCCTTTTTCGGTTAAAGGGCACAACTGGATGTGAATGGGCGTTTGGACTAATGGTTATTTAGACGAATGTCAGCCCATAGAAATTATATCCCCCCCATATTGGGCACGCACGACCCACTGGGAAAATGACATTCAACGGATATTTTCTTCTAGGATGGGCCGGTATAATCCCATCTCCGCGAGAGAGATAAATTTATACTATGAGTTGAACAATACCACCAGCATCCATGTGCACGTCGGCAACGGAGTTGACCCAGATTCCTCCTTTCCGTTCCACACAGTACGGAACTTGGCCTTGATTCTACTAGTATATGAACCGGCCATGGATCAATTGCTCGATGCTAAATTATACCCTCCCCCTACTCTCATCGGCAACCGCGATCGCTCTCAGGATGTAAGTAATGGACATCCTTGGCTTTCGTTGGCAGTCAGCCGTCTAGTTCGGCAAAAAACAACTGACATTGCTTCATTTAGCCCGAATCCATATCCTCTATTAACACCCCTTACTTTCAGCCTCCAAACCTACCAGCACACTCCCCAAGAAGAGTATTAGCACGTCATCTCTTTAATACATGCAAAGACATTCGATCAGTGATCCGAGCGATGAGTCCACTACCACCAGATGAAACTTTGGCCCCAAATTGCCCGTGGTATTATAAGTTCAATTTCAATCCATTGCTTGATTCTTTGGATATACCACCGCCTGTATTTTCCGAACCCGAACCTGAACCAAACCCCGAAGTGAAGATTGGGAGGGAGACGTCGAACGGTCATGCTGAACCAACTATGCCAGCTCCCCCAGCTGAGCCGCGATCACCGCCTCAGCCCAAGTCATATCCAGCCCCTAAACGGAAATCTCCGACTATTGAGTTTCGGCAGCAGATTGGAACTTTGGACCCAGACACGATGGTTTACTGGATTAAGTTTCTAACGGCTTTGGTGGAGTTCTCCGGCAAACTTACGGATCAGGCGGTAGTTGAGTTCCTTGGACTGGAGGACATCGACATCGAGTATTTACCATCTACGGATGAGGGCCTGCCTATGGAGGATGAGGAACGGACTCCATATGTTACTATTCGACCACCTACGGATCCTTCTATTTCCCTCTCAGCCCTCGCGCTACTCACAAGTATGCAACCCATCGGATCCCTTGCACGTCTCCTTACCGCCATGGAATCCGTAAACATAGACCTTGACTCCGAAAGCACTCGACATTGGAAGCGCAAGGTCTCGCCATAAAAGTACATTAGCAAACCACTACCTGACGGCTCCCTCAGCACTATATCATCTCTTACTTGACCCAATTCATTTTTTTCGGCTCGCTCTTTCTGGCTGGAATATTTCATTCAGATGATACTCTCGCTGAACATCACCAAGGAAAGGTGAAACTTCTGGAATTACAACCCATACCAACTATATCTTATATTAGTTTTCTCTCTGTTGCTCCGGAAGCCTAAGGGGAACAAGTTGGAGTATCCTCTGGCAACACAGTTCAGGTCCAGTAGGATATCCAAATGGTTGGTGTTAGTCCGTCAATGCAAAACATTCTACGTTGAACGTGGATTGAAACTTTGCACCAAACATCCCGATATAGACACAGGTCTGCCAACTGTTGAGATGTTGCGCGGGAAATTTTCTAGAGACAGCCTTGACTATACTCAATACCCCTACCACGTTTGAAGCTACCCAGCAGAAGGCAAAAATATTGAAAATCAGAAAAATATTACGCCAAACTCAATGTTATTCGGATGCCTATTTAGGACTGGCGTCTCTGAATATGAGCTTGGTAATGATGAATGTCGTGCATTTAATTTTTATCTCACTCCTCACACTACTATATTTTTCTTTTTGGTAGCTTAACTAGCTAGTCGTTTTACACTATTAGCAAGTTGTGATGCAGCCACTCGTTTGGTACGCGACAACCCACTGCGGAGTGGACTTATTGTCGATTTTTAACACGAAAGGAGGAATGAGGATCTGATAATGATGTGACTCTTGGTCTTTGTCTAGTTAGGAATATCATCAACGTTCGGCTCTGTTGCTCACTACTCCTAGACTTGTTCATATGAATTTAGCAAGGTGCACATTAAAAGGGTGGGGGGGTTACACCCTCGATTTTATTGTCTTCCAATTCCATTAGTTATGTTTTAGTTATATGTTTGTGTGTATATAGCTCTTTATTTATTTATTTATTTTTTTATTTCCTTTTACCGGCACATATACCCTCAATTGATAATTTATACATTCCCTTCCCATATGGTGTGCCCTCATCCCATCAAGCGTAAAACTGTCTAATACTCGATAGTCTGCTCCTTGCTGTATTCAATAAAGCAATAAAGCTCTTACATTGAGATTTGAAATTTGGGCTGCCCGAGGCCCCTGAGAACTGTAGCCTCAAGGAACTTGGTGATGACATCTGTAGCACAGAATGCCTCTCACTTCGCGCTGTTGATTTGTTTTCCTCCGGTCTCTGTCACTTTGAATGTTTATGGCGAGCAAACATTCGCTCTCGTACTCAAACACAGATCTGGGAATGCAATATATCCCATATCATGCAGTGCTATGCTGGTTCCACAGGTTGTATCAAATCCTCAGAGATAATGTCCCTTGAACCTCACTGGATTGGAGGGGGACACAACCTAGTAGGCCTGGTCCGGAATCCGGATAGGCCTATGGGAGCTGTTTGCTTCTAAATGATACATTGACAACCTTGGTGCCGACGTACCGTAGCCAATCTATTGTATGTCCATGGAATTTGAAGATGATCAAAGAACTTGAAGCATTAACCCCCGTGCTTTCTTTTTCCTCAGTATCTCTAAAAGTCTGTGTGCAGAGATTGGATGGTCTGCTCAGCGGATACTTGCAGGAGCCCTCCGCACGAGCTTGCCAATGATATGTCGGATTATCGTGGGTGTAAGCATATAGCAAAATACGGCTGGGTACACAACATAAGCGTTTATCAATACTCCAATGAAATAACGGGATGAAAAGACCACTCAGACCCTGAGCGGCATCTAGGGCGGCAGGAGGACTAAACTCCCGGGGCCTTCTTCGTCCTGATTCGTATTCCCCATTAGCCGAGTGGCTCTTCCTGAGCTTGAAGGAGAACTCATGGATTGGATACCCAGGAGAGACGACTGACTCTTGTCCTACCACCCTGAGAGGAGGTAGAAGTATCCCGTGTTTGCGCCGTAGCGCCTACCAGGGCGCCTTGACGGATATATGACCATTTTCATCAACAAATTTCCCACGGTCCCATTCTCTGCCTTCCCCTTTCTTTGCCCATCTAACACTTTCTATTTCCTTATGGTCATTCGAGCCTAAACCAGCAAAGGATTTGTTTGCTTCCCACTTCTCCACTACCCTATCGTCAAACCCAGCCTCTCGTAGGCGCTCCGCACCCTTCCGTTTCCATATCTCACGGTCCCGCAGTGCCTCTAGCGCCATATCCCAGTCATCATTTGCATGCTTGTCTGCTTCCTTTGGGTTGAAAAGGCCTGGTACAGGGCGGATGTGTCCTGGATGATCATTCTTGGCAGCATTGTCATCTTCAAGGTGTATGTCCAACGCGGGGTCATATTTTGACGAAAAATGGGCGTCTATGTTACTCGAATTTGTGGTCCTGTAAACCCCACGACCACGAGATTGGATAGGTTGACTATTGTCCGCGAAAGCCGTGGGTGGCGCAGGACCAATAAGATCGCTCAGTGGGTCTGAATCGTCGGATGTGCTGCTTCTATCATTTGGTGACATATGCCTACTTCGAGCATCTTCAGCACATGTTTGTGGGGGTAACGGCGGTGGCTTCTTGTCAACGCTGGTGTGGGTATCTGCGCGCAAGTCGCCACTTTTATCCTCCATATGCATGTGCTTTTCAATTTTCTCCTCTCGGTTCCTGCTGCGTCTCCTCTGGCGGTGAGTCCTGGTTGGGGATTTAGACCGACTGCGAGATCTTCCATGGCGATCGTGCGCCCTCCTGTCACTCCTGCTCCGGCGGGGACCCGAATTTTCTCTCTGATCCTTTGCTGGATGACCATGTTCATATTTTGACAATTCTTGGGCGCGTTGATGCCGCCTATGATGATCCCTTTCACCCTTCCTGTCGTGTCCACTCTGTCCGGATTCTCGTGCTGTATCCCCTTTATCTGGCCTATCCTCCAGATGATGCCGCTTTCGTGCTCTGGATATTGTATCACCATCGCCACCGGAATACCTGTATTCTTTTTCTCCTTTTTGAATACGGCTTTTTCCATGACGGTCACGGTGATGAGGTCTTACTCCATTTTGGTCCTGTCGTTCGGGGGATTCAACCCTCCGACGTTTGTGTACCCGATCGTCTCGCCCATCTGACCTTGAAGATCGAGATGGCTTGCCTCTTCCATCCAGTAGTGTCCTCATTCTCTGCCTCGCCTCCTCCTCCTCCTTCCGTTTTAAATTCTCATTGTGGCTGTCTGTTTCGCGGAGGATATGCTTTAAAAACCGTGTATTTGGCTTCGGAGCGCCATTAATAGATCTATCGTAGCACACTAGTCAGATATATACTTTCAAGGATAGAGATAATTCCAATAATACCTACCGTTTTGACGGGCCGTATATTCCAAGAGCCGAGTATCTGCGCGAGCAGTCCCGCGCATCTTTAGCAAGAAGCTGGGCAACATAGTTATCATCATTGTAGTCCACATCGTTTATATCTTCATTTCTGGACCTTGACATGATCTGGTGTATTGATAATTGCTTCGTCAAACTGCCTTTTGTCTTTCATCGTCGACGTTGAGCTCGAAGCTGGAACTTTTTCGATATCAAGATAACGCTGACTAAGCCAGATAAAGTCAAACAATGCAAACAATATGCTTGTTTACTTTTTGTTATCGCGATAAGCTTAAATGTTTATCTTCACTCCGCGATATCAGTTTCCTTAGACGATGAGACCACAAAGATAAGTAAGACCCGCAGAGACGTTGGAGTCGACGTGAGTGGTCACGCACAATGGTTGATACTGCTTACTCTGATGCGCTTGCGCAGATTCAGGCTCTAGACAAACAGATACCTGCGGATACCCTTGCAATCATTCGAATCAGCGAGCCAATCGGCACATCAGATGGGAACGCAACATCGGAGCGGTCGCCATCAAAGCGTACCTCAGACGTGTCTACGGACGCATATGATAATCCAACACCGGCGACATTAGAAGCTGACCTGACACATTATAAGGTATGTTTACAGTTAAAAAGAATTGAATTAAACGGCTAATTAACAATGGTTTTAGGAACTATTCTCGAAGCTCCGGTTTTCGTACCTCGAACAGGTCACGAAAGAGAAGTTTCTACGTGCTATTGTTGGTGATCCACCGCTAGTCGTTGCGCATAGTGACAATGTCGAGTTGGAAGCAGAACTCGCACAAATAAAGGAAGAGTTGCAACGGCGAAAGGAGGAAGTTAGGATATCAGTTGAGGAGATGGAAAAGATGAGCAGAGACCTAGCAAAAAGTAAAGGCACTCACCTATGTTCCTCGCTAAAACCTGGCACAATTAAGCTAATTATCCCCATATATCACAGGGTATGAAAACGTACAGCTACAGACCACACAGCTTTCAGAGCTGCCGGCTTCAATTTCGAACCTCGAAGAAACAGTTTCCAGGTTGCGTGATGCTCAATCAGCGCAGCTTCAGGAACGATCGTCTCTATCTCCATCTCAAAATCTCCCGCTTGAAGCTACTCTTCGACTTTTGGCAAATAAGGATGCTGAACTAACAAGCCTGAAACGAACGCTGGCGTCCTCAGAAACAGCGTTAGTCCGTAAAACGGGAGAAACAGAAGCATTGGAGAGGGAGTTGGCTGTATTAGAAAAGAAGAGAAATGAAGTTGTTGCGCAAGCCAAGGAGGCGCAACGACGGAAACTCCAAGGAGAGAGTGACGGGCTTGAAGAAATGGGGCGATGGTATGCAGGGGCAGAGCAAATACTGAAAAGCTTAGTATAACCCGGCATCTATGCGAGTTCAAGTCAATGTTGGACTATTGATTAAGGAGACAGACACAAGGTATGTATATAAAGGGAAATGGTCGCTATTGTATATTGAATGGTTTGGTCATAACTCGTATTTCATGATATACATGGGAGTATTTTGGATAGCGACATCCATTTATTATTTTGTTTTATTTTGTATCCTCTTTTTTAATCATCTACTCCTCGTCTTCCTCCTCCTCCTCGTCATCACCCTTCTCGGCAGCTCTCATCTTCTTGCGCTTAACGCGGCCAGGGCGACCACCACCAAGAGGAGAGGTGAGGGAGAAGTCAATGTGCTTCTGGGAGTCAAGACGGACAACGAAGGATGGGACGTTGACGATTTGCTTGCCGACACTATTAATACACGTTAGAGATAGTCCAATGAGATATGCATCAGTGGAGCGTGGATGCGTACCGGATGTGTCTCTGTCTGATAAGAACACGGGCGTGATGGATGGACTTGGCCAATCCAAGTCTGTAGACGCAAGTCTGAAGACGGCGCTCCAAGAAATCTTCAATCTTAAGAGCAAGCACGTAATCGAGCTTCATGCGGGACTCGTCGAGGACACCAACACGGACAAGTCGTCGAATCAAGGCGTTACCCTCGAAAAGACGCTTGGGATCCTTCTCGTCAAGGGTGAGAAGCTCACTGCAGCCACTCCTTATTAGCGCTCCACCTCCTGATATCACATATACCATAAATTCCAGGAAAAAACCATACCGAGCAGCACGACGGATCTTGGACAAAGTCAGGTTGACACGCCACACCTCACGCTTGTTGCGGAGGCCATATTCGCCGACCAGCTTCAATTCGGAGTCACTAGAAATAGGCGAAAACGCGCAGGTTAGGAACAGTTCGCACCAACGACATAAGCAAAAGCAAGCTAATTGCTCAGTGGCCGGGAAGTACTAACAGACGAGCCGACTCGAATGCTATAAAAAAAGAGAACGCATTAGCACTTCAGTCGACTACTTTTTTCCCCTGCGGAATATCCAAATCGCAACTTGGAGAATAGCTCAATACTTACGACGACGTGGGACCTTGTAGGTCTTGGAGTATGCGCGCCTGCAATCAACACAGACATGTTAGCAACGCATCCAGCGCCCTCAATCTCTTCCATCTCTCTTCGCCAGGGGGGCGTCAACGTACGGAGCCATGGTGAATTAGTTGTCGAAGGCTGAGCTGCACACCAGAACTTGTCGATGCGAACAGGAAGAAAACGAAGAGACGAAAAAGTTCACGAGGTTTTTTTGGGTGTTTCTGGAGATGCTGACATAAGCAGTCGCTTCTCCCGTTTGGGCGACTAGTTAGGGCTGCAGCCCTCGCCGCCCGAAAAGCGCACGCTAAGCGAAAAAGAAGTTTGCGACGTCGAAAGACAATCTCGAGCAGCGCAGCAACTTCACCAGGCTCGACAAACTCCCAGCAACGACACAACCCTTCATCCAGCCGTCAAGATGGGTCACTCAGCCGGTTTGAGGGCGGGCACTCGCGTACGTTTTGGCTCTGGCTTTTGTTGCGACTCCGTGGGCGGTGCAGGGGAAGCTGACGATGTGTTGAATAGTATGCCTTTTCTCGCGACTTCAAGAAGAAGGGTGTTATCCCGCTGTCCACCTACCTGAAGACCTACCGGTACGGGACCTTTCGAATGATGTGTATACGGTTAATATTGGTGGAATTGTCATGCTGATACTATACGTCTCTAGTGTCGGTGATATTGTTGATCTCAAGGTCAACGGTGCTGTTCAGAAGGGGTTAGTTGACCAATTCCACCTGTGTTGATCCAAATCCATTCGCCTCGATTATACGATTCTCTGGCCCCAAAGAATGTGATGAGCATGGGAAATAAAAGATTAGAAGAGGCGAAAGATCCAATGATCGAGAAATGGAGGCGGATAGTTTGATAACAGCACCTGGTTTACTAAAACGTTTCCGTTTTCTAGTATGCCACACAAAGACTTCCACGGAAAGACCGGCGTCGTATACAACGTCACCAAGTCCGCCGTTGGTGTCATAATCTACAAGCGCGTCGGCAACCGATACATCGAGAAGCGAGTGAACGTCCGCATCGAGCACATCAACCACTCCCGATCCCGAGAGGAGTTCCTCAACCGTGTCAAGGAGAACGCTGTCAAGAAGCGCAAGGCCAAGGAGGAGGGTGTCCACGTCCACTTGAAGAGACAGCCCGTCGGTCCCCGTGAGGCCAGAGTAGTGAGCCTGGAAGGAAACGCCCCAGAGACCCTTGCTCCTCTTCCATACGAGACGACCATTTAATTTAAGAATTCAAAAAACGAAATTATTGAAAATACCACTACCACACGTTTTTCTCTCTGCTTGTCTCAAATTTCAAAAGCCTGGGTCCAGAGGGGGTTTCTCTTGTTCTATAGGTTTTTGTTTTTTTCCAAGGTCGTTCCAAGGAGCATAGGAAAGGATAACAATGTACCTTTCTCCCTTGTTGCTGCAACGGACGTACCGGAGCCATTACTCCGGCTGTTGATTGGGAATAAGGCACTCATGATATACAAGGCGCTGCGCCATTTTAACGATTTGACCCTCTTTCCATTGGAGTAACTATGGTGCTGTCCTTTCTCTACCAGCGTAGTTGTACGGCTTTTATATTAGCACTTTCATGTAGCTTTTGGAAGGCATAAATGTGTAAGTCTCTTGGTAAATATGAAATTTCTACCTCCAATAATTAAGATGCAGCGGATAACATGGAACCCGTAAAAAGAAGTGTATTGGCTTCGCTTCATCAATTGTCCCTCGTCTTCAGACCATGATTATATACCAAAGGAAAGCAAAATGAGCAACCCCAGCAAGGCGAATATTATCATTAAGTAACCGGCCAGTCATGGTTCCTCGTTTTCAACATGAAAGCTCGAACTCTTAACCAGCTCCACGCAGAAATCGGCCCATTCAGTTTTCTTTTCATGGGCTCCAGCACCTCCAACCTCGATAATTTCTTCCTCGATATGGTCTTCAATGAACCGACCGTATTTTCGACGGTACTCGGATTTGACTCTTTCCAAGTGATGTGGCTCCCAGTGCAGACGGACTAAGCGTGAAATTAGCAGCTCAGCACGGTCACGTCCAGTGCCAGACTCTGTGATAGCCTGGTGGATGAGTAGAGCATCTCTCATGGGCCGGTTACGAACACCGTTTAGAATATGGCCCAATGTCTCTCCCTATAAGGTAAAAATAGAGTCAGGATACGGCAAATGAATAAAGCAAATAAGCGATACGTACCACCAAATTTCGAGACTTCGAGAGCATAGCCCTTGTAAAGTTCTCCCGATAAGTCATCTCATAAGCTTGCAACACTTCCCGAAGGTGCGCATTGCCCCTTACTATGATAATCTGTATCATAGCGGTCTCGCCTCCGTCTCGCGAGGTCACTGCCCGATGTAGGTCATAAACATCCCTGCGAACCAAGTCAACGTTCAAGGGCGCGTTGTCAGGCTGTCTCTTCTCCTGCAAAGCAAGTAGAATAGCAACGCGGAACTTGTCTGCTTTGAGCTCAGTCTGCATACACAGCTCAAGGTTATCCTGATACCTCTTGTCGCGGAAGCAAGCCTTGATCTCCTTGATTTCAGCATTGGGCCTCCCGATAAGTGACTCGATAAGGAGTTCATGCCGAGTACGGCTCGATTGATACCAGAAATTGGCCCATAGAGCTTCCGACTCCCACTGCCCCAAGGCAGTCGCATAGCATACTTTACCGAAGTTTCCGGGGACCACCATCTTGATATGCTTGGCCATGTTCACCCCCTTTCTGGTCATGACCCTTAGATTCTTGTATGCCCCACGAAGATGCAGAATCTCATCAGATGTGAGGTATGGAAGGATCTTTATCAATGTTTTAGCATTGATTTTGGAATGATTTAGGGCAGAATGGACCAGTTTCGCGTCATCTTTGGGGTCATAGACGTACACCTGAGCTTCCTTAGGTGCAATCTCCTTGATCACGCTCGGGCCTAAGCTGGTGGACAATCTCCTACGGATTTCAAGTTCCAGGCCAGGATCTTCCATCTTTTTCTTGTCTTTCTTACTTCTCTTGCGGCCTAAAGTCTTGCTTTCTTTGCCGTTGAGAGGCTCGATGTCTGACAAGGCATCATCCCCAAGGGACGTTGGCCATTGAATAGGAGATATACTTTGGTATGTACCCTTATAAGGCTCTAGGAGTGGGCTGGCTGGAGGGTTGGCGCCATCTGGGAAACTGCCGGGTATCTTCATTTGGTTGTCAGGAGCTAAGTTCAAGTTACTTGGCTTGCTGGAGACGGTTTGACGACGCGGCTTTATTTCTAGATATGAGGGTTGCTTCGGCTGGGTAACTGGAGCCGGAGCATATTGGACTTTGGTAGGATTTGTAGCAGCGGCAGCGGCAGCGGCAGGAGGAGGAGGAGCAGTATAATTAGGGTTAGTAGTAGCAGCTGGAGCAGTAGGTGCGGGTGTCTGGGTGGAATATCTGATCTGTGAGGCAGGTACAGAATACTGGTAAACATCTGGCTTGCTGTATGTTTGCTTTGTGGGAATATGTCCAGTAGATGTTGCGCGTTTATGTTCTGGCTTCGGGCCCAATGTCTGAACACTAGCGGGCGTTTGACTGTATTGTGGAGGTACATATCGCGCAGCAGGAATGCTAGGATACTGGGTAGTTGATGTTGCCGGGCTGGCGACAGTTGCCCCTGGTATCACACTGGGAATAGGGCGAGTATAAGTTGAAGTCTGCGGGCGGGGAGGCAGCTCTGGGGCGGTCGCCACTGGGGCAGTGGAAGCTACCATAGGCTGCTTCTGCAGTTGGTAATACTGCGTAAGATTGGCATATATATTAGGCACCTCGGGATGATTATTATGATTATCATTATGTGGTTGGGGAACTGCAGCAGGCTGATTCTCAGTTGCTGGTGGAACATAGCCTTCACGTTCACATTCGGGGATTTCAGCCCATGCATTGAGATCAATATCAGATGGTTTTTCATCAAAATGGCGGTCCTTGGTATCGGAAGACGGGTAAAGCTGCGACTTCAGCTTTTCCAGCGTACTGCTTAGCCCAAAGTTCTGTGTCTTTTGCACCATAGGAGGCATCTCGTCTCGAGCAGAGGAGCCGGCAGGCGCAGGAGCTTGTTCTGGCTCAAATAAACTTCCATGTCGCGGCGATTCCCTGGTTCGACTGCGGGAGTACCGTCGCCGATCCGCTGTATACTCCTTGGTATACTCATAGCTGGAGTCTGAATCATATGTCACCTTTGGGTTCGCCGGACGCCTGCCACGGGATCCTGATCGTGACCGCAAACGACGGTGATGGTTTCTAGCAAGGGGGTAGTCGTAAGGTTCACCATATGCCAGATGGTCATCTTCCGACTCTGAATAGTATGCTGGCTCATGTAGTCGGGATGGCCGTGGCGAAGGATAAGCGACGGCCGGCGGCTTGGTGGCCGGAGCAGCGTCAATATCCGACCGGGAGTCGTAAATGTAACTTGACCGCTTGCTCTTGGATGGCTTCGAACTAGACGAATATCTATCCGTAGGAGCTAGTGCATGCTCGTCGGAGAGATAGTAGTGATCGTTTGTTACTTGCGTAGAGTACTTTGAGCTCCTTGATGGCTGATACCTTTCATCATCGGAGGGGGAAACTTCGCGATACTGCGTAGACATGCGCCGCGCGCTTGTCCGCCGAGAGACTTCGTCCTCATACGAGTCATAGTCATAGTACTTTTTTGAAGGTTTCTCCCTCTCCCTGGAAGGAGATGCCCTGCGAACATGGCTATGGCTGCGGCTATGACTGCGTTCAGTATGATCGTGCTCACGGCCGTGTCGCGATCTTGATCGTTCTCGAGACTTAGACCTCGATCGGTAGTACTGGTCAGGGATTCGAAGCGACATGGCTGTGAGATATTGGCGAGCTTCAACCAGCCAGTTCCTCCGTCACAGAGCAAAATAGAGGTGCCTTCTGGGAAAATAATAGACCTCCGAAAACCGCTTGATAAACCACAAGCAGCCAGATGGTGTAGCTCCAGAATGCAGAGTTGAAGGATTGTGAAGGAAGCGAGCCAGCGAGAACTCGTTTACTAGTGAGCTGCACGAGCCTTGCGAAGCGGGTTTCAGCCGCTTTGCACCACCAAGCAACGGCCGCTTGGCCCCCATATTTGCTTAACTCTGGTCTGCACGACGCTGGCGCACATTGGCTGGTCACGCAGGAGGTGCCTGGTGATGGCTGGGGGGGTCGCCCGCTCGTCGTATTCTGTATCCATGCGATTGGCTGTGCAGGGATATGGCTGCCCTGTCAATGTCCCGAGGTTTGCGAAGCGCATGCCAAAAATAAAGAAGAACGAAAAACTCGTTCACTGTGCAATTATTATATATATCTTAAGTCCAAGAAACAAGCGAGTAAACTCTCCGTCATGAGAAAAATGCCAAAATAAAAAGATATGCGCCTGTACTCCGCATGCGCCGGCCCAAAAATGTGGTCCCAGGAACCACCGGCTTCATAAAATGGTCATGACAATCATAGCACCAGCACCAGGCTTGGTCATAAAGACATTAGTTATACAGTACATTACTCTCATCGATCACAAGGTACCGGAGGAGGCTTCGATTTTACCCTCTTTGATGAGCCGATCCCTCATTTTTGCTTTGATAGGCACGTTGGCCATGCCCTCCGTGAGAGGACGACCAGTCCTGAACCAAACGTAAGCATTAGCCAAACGGCTCCTGATCGGAGAGAATGAGCAGGAACTTACATCAAATCGTCATAATGCATCTGGGCGCCTTTATCCTTGATTTGTACCTGAGTTCGTTTGCTCAGTATATTCCCAGCCATGGAATCTCGCCTCTTTATCTCGGCCCAAGAAGGCCCACCACAGACTTCAATCAGCTCCCTCAGGCACGTTTCCTCTTCAAGTGACCAGGCTCGCCGAGGAGCCCAGTTTCCTGCGCGCTGAACTTCAACATTTACTGACTCAAACCGTTGTGGTGGAGGAGCAGTGGTCGAAGGTGACCTAGTCCTAGTGGCTCCCCGGCTGTTTGTCCTATCTCCACGGGAAATTGAACCTGGTGTAGGTCGAGGAGGAGCCGGAGCACTTATAACACGGCGTTTCTTGACCGGGCGACTATCGGTCTCAAACTCATCATCATCACTCTCAGACTCATGGCTGTCATAGTCCAAAGCTGCGGCACCACGCTTCTGCGGGCCTGATACAGGGGCCACACTGGCGCGTGGGCTTGGCGAGAAACTAATGGGCGAGACTCGATGTGCATTCGCTTGTCGGTCTATAAATGCTCCAACACTTTTGGCCACTTGCTTCGATTTTCTAGCGATATTCCCTTCTTCAGAAAGTCTCCAAATATCCGCTGAGGAGAGAGGAGGAAGCTCTTCTGGTCTACTGTTGCTCGGTCCATTTTTTCGCGGTGATTCTTGGGTTCTGACACCTGGTGTAGGCCGAGGAGGGGGATTTTGCAAAGGAGATGACTGCAAGCCATCGCCAAGCACCTCGTCGTCAAATAGAGAATCCTGAACTGGGATCGATTGTGTTTCTGGTCCTTCTTTTATCTGGGGCACTGACGGAGCAATGTTTGTCCCATCTGTAGGTTTGCCAGAGGATGATTCGTCCGTGGCCCCGATTCCAAGGAGATATCTGATCGCAGCTTTTCTCTGAAACCGACGAGGCGGATGGAGGGCTGGACTTGCGGGAGCTTCTGGAGCTTCTGTTATCTCGGCAGGAGCAGCTTGCTCTGGTATAGAGGGAGCATCTCGCACTGGCTCAGTTGCCAGAATTTGCTGAAGCGCTCCCTTCCCTCTAAATCGCCGACGGGGCGGAGTGGATGGATTTGCAGGAGCTTGGAGTGGCTCTAATAACTCTGCAGTATTGGCCTGCTTTGGCATAGAGGGAGCATCTCGGGCTGGCCCAGCCGCCAGAACCTGCTGAAGTGCCCCCCTCCCTCTAAATCGCCGACGGGGCATAGTGGTTGGGCTTATGGTGGCAGCGGGCTCTTCTCTGTCCTCTCGTTGGATTTCCATGGCTCTATCTGGCGTGGTGTTCCTCTCAACAGGAGGTTCCACTTCGTCGAGGGTAGGATCTGATATGGGTTCCATCGGGTTCCCTGGCCCGAAGCTAGACCTTTTGTCCAATTCAGATTGTAGTATCCTCATTGCTTCTTCAACCGGTATTTGTGAGCTGAGTTGCTGGTCAATGGCATTTACCCGCCGTCGAATCCAGTTCGCGATGGAGACGATAAACTCCGACCATGGAAACCTAGATTTTAAGCCTCCCTCCTGTACAACTAACTTTCGAATCAGGTCAATTCTCTCTTGAACAGTTCCACGGAATTCTTCCGGTAACTGATCATCCTCATCCATTAGACCGTCCATTTCCCAGCCTTTTAATTCAGTACTAACCTCACCGAGCGAAGGGTTGTAAAACACATCCGCAAGCAACTCTTCCGGTTCTGAATACTGATCTGGGGAGTTAGACAGTAAGCTTGAGATGAAACGTTGAGTACGGAGCTCAAGTCCTATCTGGAACGTTTCTTTCTGAAGGTCATCCCCTGCAGAAGTTCTAGAATCTCCAAGCGATCGTGAGTCCATGAAGGCCAATGGGAAGCTGTCATCCACTGTCGCTGTTAATGCAGTTGAACGTGGATTGATAAGATCTAAGGCTAGTTGTGCTAGGTTGGCTTTCTGATAGATTCCTCGAGACTGCCAGTCGAGCTTTTTTATTGAAGACAGGACTTTGACAGATCGATCAACAGGAATGAAGTTTGCTTTCGTTATGCATTTCTTTTGAGTCTCAAAGGTCACTTTAGTACGGTTGATCCTGGCGCTAAATTTGGGTGTTTGGATGTACTTTGAGATATTGGCATAAGAAATTCCTGGGGGTGCCAAAAGATCCAGGGCCTTGGTTGATGCATTAAGGATGTCTGGGAGGGTATCAAGCAAGAGATGAGGGTCTGGTTCATCGGTTTCATAACCCGACTCATCAGTCTGGAGCATAGTAGTCCCTGAAATATTGCCATGGTCCGTGTGCGATTCGGCAACATATGTTTGGCTTATATAGGACTGGTGGTTAGGAGAAAACTCGATGCCAATCCTTGGTCCATCCGCACAATCCTCAGTGATAGGAGAGAGGTCTGTGCAGCCGTTAGGTTGACTCTGGCATGAAATAACCAAAATAAAGGTGCACAAAGGGAAAATGAAGGCAATTACTCACTGTTTCTCCTGGTCGAAGCGTCAGAGGCTCTCGGGGTCTTAGGAACAGGCTTCTGGCCGCCAACTTCGTCTCTCTTTGGTGGCAATGAAGGAACTTTGAAGCTGGCCGGCGCCGGACTCTCCCCAAGCTCCCGACTGCGGCTTCTAGTTACCCGAGAGCTGGTTCCTTGCGCGCGTTTAGCGGGCACGGAGCGACTTTTTGGCGGTTGGCTCTGTGTAGGTGGAGTGACGGCACTTCTTGTTTGAGCCATCGTATTCTTCGACCTAGAGCGCCAGACAGGCCACTAACAAGCAATATATGGGAATATACGTTGTACAGTCATAAATGCATAGAAGCTGACGCTCGAGTAATAGATATAACTAGCGACATCAGGCTGTTGGAGTTGCTGAGTTCAAAAATATTGAGGTTGGGGCGTCGTCCAAATAAACAACGACGAACGCTAAACTGTTTTAGGAAGGCTACATCACGTGTAAGGGCTATACCGCATTTGTAACCCTAACCCTAGTTGACCCTAAACCCTAGTCCTAAACTCCGAGAGCAATTCGGAGACAAGTTGGAAAAAGCCAATGCATTGCTTCTTGAGATGAATCGTACAATAACAATAATATATATACTCATATCATTTGTTTACATGAAATATATATGTATGTATGTACCTTATCCACCGTTTCCCCCCTTTCTAAACCTCACAATCCTCGTTTTGAAAAAGCCGTGCAATTTGCTGGTGACGTTGAATGCCTTCTTACACTCACAGCGGGCGGTTTGTATAATTGGCCATTTCAGTTGCGCCTTGCAGGTTTTTGTTTGCTCCATACCACTTATCAGATTCGTCCAGTGTGTGATCCATGAGTTTGTCGATATCGAAATTCTCCACCCATTGTTTTTCCTGAAGTGCTTGGATTGCAGCCCTAATCCAGGTAACACAATTTTCGACAGGTGTGGCGTTTTCTCTGGGTAAAGCAACTCTTTGAAGCAGCGTATCGACATCATGTGCGGTAATACCTTTGGGGAGCTTTCCAATCATCATCCGGCCAAGCATTGCGTGGCTACGCTCGAAATTTGCATTCCGAAATTCATACTTCCAACCCCCCGAACCAGGCAAATTTGAAAATGGAGGGTGTTCTTTGACATCCAAGCAATATCCTGGGCCTGCGCTATTTTTCTTCTCAACCCATATTGCCCAGTGGTACGTGGCATGTTTTAAGATTGTCCTGCACCCAACTTCACTCGTTACACCCTGTCGAAAGTAGGTGGCGACGAAAACACGGTCTTTATCTCCCATTGTAGATGCTGGATAATAATGTTGCTGCAGCTTCGAGCACTTAGGGTTATATAGGCAAGAGGAAGGCAACCAATGTTGACGGCTTGGTGGTGACCGGGGTTGATAGGGTGTTTGGGTTAAGCTGAAGATATGGGGGATGGTAAAGCCGAGAAGGCTGGCTCAAATCCTCTCTAATCAGAAAAGTGAGAGAATGGGTCTTGGGTATAGACAAACATAGATTAAGAAATGCCATCTTTCGTTCGAGGGCAGGAAAGGGCAGCTTAATATACCTAGACCCCGACGTAGAGACTACCGTCTGAAGTTACGGAGGGGTAGCTATACAGGAAGGGTAGCTCAGTAAAAGACGGCGCTTATTATTTTTAGTAACTTATTTGCTATAAGCTGTGTTGGAAAAAAAGCAAAACGTAGAAAATGAGGAGCGGAAGTATGAGCACAGGGATACGGCGCTTAATGGTTGGTAACCAGTGGAATGTATCTTGGATTTATAATTAGCAGTAACCATGGTGCATAATGCGAAACGGTGCAGTTCCAGCTTTATCCATTTTTCAGGGGAGAATGCCCCTATCGGCGAATGAAAAGGCAACATGTCAACAAAGGAAGAAATTCAATTAGTACTCCGTACGCCGTATGTAGAGATGCAGCATAATACGGCAAGTTAATGTTGGATATCCAACCAGTTAGTTGATCAAACTTGGAACTAGTTAGCGCACGTGACTATAACTAACTTAGGTAACGGGCAGTTAGAGTTATTTCGTTAATTAACTCGGCAAATAAAGCTGAACCATTTATGACTTGAGTTGGTTTAATAGGCAGACTCGTGGTTCAGCAGCTACGTTGACCGACCACCTCTCGGAAACAAAAACATCTTTGTTCTGAGCTACTAAACTCTGCAGGTCTGATGGCGAATGTTCGCTGGGTCAAGCTCAGGTCTGAAGAGCCACCGGCATGGCTCCGACTTCAAATACGTCTCGCTGCCCTTTTCGACAAGTACAGGGGAGAAACACGGTCTCGGCGAGTGAAGCGTCTTCCATTCAAGAGAATTATCAAATTCTATAGTCGCCCTATAGAGCTTGAAGCTTTGCAATATATTCAAAAACATACCACCATCCCGATTCCCCGTGTGAGAAAAGTGTACGACTATGGCGGAGAGAGACAGCACATGGTCATGGACGCGATAGATGGACAGACTCTCGACTCCGCTTGGCCGGGGATGACTGACGACCAGCGGGAAAACGTTGTTCAGGAGTTTACGGCATACGTCCAACAGTTACGGAGCCTTGTTCCGCCCAAAGAAGGGGCTGTCGGCTCGAGTCTCTTGGGGCCTGGCTATGACCATCGACTAGGAGACCGTCTTTTTGGCCCTTTTGATGACATTGCCCACTTTCACTATTATGTCCGACGCGGCATGCCCCTTGAGTCTTGGGATGAGTCTGTTAAACAGGTTCATGGCCGTTCAAGGTCGTATACTATCAAGTACGCGCATGGAGATATGTGCCCAAACAATGTGCTGGTCAAGGGCGGAAGAATTGTCGCAATTGTTGATTGGGAGTTTGCGGGATGGTATCCCGAGTACTGGGAGTATACTAAAATTCACTATGGCTACCGACCATACCGTGAGGAATTTTTCAATGCTCTGGAAAAGACAATGACCACGTATCCAGAGGAGCTAAAAGCTGAGACTGCTATCTGGCGAGTTTTTAGTACTTTTCACTATGACGACCCGATTCCTGACTACGCACCGAAATGGGAGGGCAGCCTTGAGGAAGAATCGGTAGGCAAACCACTTGAGGGTGATTTATCGGCGGAGTCAAGAGAAAAAAAGGCTGATCTTCACTCTGGGTAAAGGCAAAGTGGACCTGCAGGAGAATAACTTTGTAGTGGTAAAACAACGGTGATGTCAGGGGCACTGCAGCCAAGATCAATCCTCGAAGAGACGTTTTTTATGTGTTGGTGATGAGATGTGATTCGTTTCCTGTTGCACAGATTTCTCCATGCATGGATTCGTGATGTAGTTATGTTTATGCCGGCTCGGTATTTTTTATCGATAGCTAACTACTACTAGCTGAGCGATGTCTGGGATACGCGGGACGGAAAAAAGGGAACTTGGGACTCGCCACGGCCGCCAACAAACCAACACCAACGGGTGGATCGAACATGGGCTAGCTGGGCTAGCTGGCCGCAGCACGAACGAAGAAGCTCCTCTTTAACGTCTCATCGGCAAGGCTCTTGAAACCTGGCCCCCTAGACTCGAGGTGTTCTCGTTGCACATCCCACAGGCCATTTTTTTTCCTTTTTCCCCACAGCTTGCGCGACCTGACAGCTCCGACATCCAGCCAGGAAACAAACCCGGATCCTGGTCGGTCTCGCTGGGCGGCTTCTCCGTGGAAAAGGGCCCCAAACGAGCCCAGGCAGGAAAAAAGGGGCTTCCATGTCTGATAAGTTTTTGATTTTTTGATATCGCAAGAAAAGCAGAGAAAAGGCTGCCAAGACTTTCGGGCGGTCGAGGCCCTCGCTCAGAGCACGTGAGCTGGACAGGCCGCCCGCGAAACGCCCCCTTTGAGAAGTCGTCGGCGTCGGCGTCGAAGGGCGACTTCAACTTCGACTTCGACTTCAACTTCACCTTCAGCGCTATCTGAGCCTCGCTGCGACATCGAGACATGCTGTGCTAGACCCTGATTTACGCTCATTTGCATCCGTTTTCCTTCTTGTTGCCCTTCGTTTTTCGTTCTGTTGACCGGCTGAGTTTTCTTTTTCCTTTTTGGGCTGACGCTCACCCTTCGTTGTCGCAATTAACTAGGCATCCCGATCCCGGCTTCATTATCAACACAACCTTTCGGCCTAATAACGCTATTCACACAAGGCTTGCTCTTCTTTCGGCGATCTGGAATTGCTTGACTACCACAGACCGATTGCCGGAGGAATTCAGCTTATCTCGAAAACCGCAAAACATAACGATATCTTGCCTAATTAATCAACCCCAGACCTGAAGCAGCCCAACATGCGTGTCCAGCCTTTCGTCTCGTCCGCCCTCCTCCTCCTCTCTATCTCTACCGCTATAGCCGGTCCAGTATCGAATCCAGATGCAAAGAAAAAAGAGACGTCCAAAGGTACTCGGGAGTCAGACCCTTCAAAGGCCGTGGCGGACACGGTTTCCTCGGATGACTCTGCAACCTGGGAATTTAACAGCCCCTTCGACGGGAAGGATGGCAAACCGCACGCCGGCCCTTTTGTAGAGACAAATGCAGAGCGAGGGCGTAAGAAGTCGTCCAAGAATGGTGGCTCAAAGCAAGAGGATGAGGAGGATGATACCTTCTCAGAAGACACCGAGCATATCGCCCCTGACGGGACCAAGATTCCTCACTCAAATGATGGAGTAATGGATGATAAGAACCGTTCAGGGCCCAAGGAGGGAACAACAGGTACAGAGGGCGGAGTGTCGGCGAAATCCAAGGGCAAAGACACGAGCACCAACAGGAAACCGGACTCTCCCAAGGAGTTACCTCCACTCCCTCACAGTGAACAGACGAAGATTCCCGGGCAAGACGACCAGCCAGAGGATAGCGAGGATGACAAAAAGGGATCAAAGGTTTTGGAGGTAGGTTGAATTTTTAATCATGTTTCGCTATGCCCACTCTTGCTTTGTTCTAACATTCAATTACCCATTGTAGAAACCTGACGATCTACCCGAGTCTCCTCACTCTGTTTCCTCAGGGAAGTCAGATAAATCTCGTGGTCCTGATCTCTCTACGAAACCAGGATCCTCTCGCTCCCCCGATACCAAGATACCGTCGAAACAATCTGGCAACGAAATTATCCATCCCTCCGACTCGTTCTTCCTTTCGCTTACCATGATTGTTTTCTCCGAGATTGGTGACAAGACCTTCCTTGTCGCTGCGCTTATGGCTATGCGCCATCCTCGCATGCTCGTCTTTTCTGCCGCATTTAGTGCACTCGCTGTCATGACCGTTCTCTCCGCCGTCCTTGGCCACGCAGTTCCTACCCTTCTACCCGCTCACTTTACCAGTGCTCTTGCATCGATCCTTTTCTTCGTCTTTGGCTTTAAAATGATGGTCGAGGCACGAAACATGTCCCCAGATGAGAATGTCAGTCAGGAAATGAAAGAGGTTGAGATGGAGCTTGAAGAGAAGGAACATGAGCAGCTTCGCATGGGCCGCGGCCGCTCCGGTATCAGTGCCTATGCGCTAGAATCTGGCCATGGGGGACTCCCACGGAAGAGCCGCTCTTCCAACCATATGCTCCCCTCTCCAGAGAGTCTCTCCTCATCGTCGTCGAGGGATAACTCTCCATCTCGCGCTAACACCCTTGCAAACATGATGTCTGGTGTTAGCAACCTGTTTTCGTTCCTGTTGAGTCCCGCTTGGGTGCAAACTTTTGTCATGACCTTCCTAGGAGAATGGGGAGATCGAAGCCAGATAGCTACTATCGCCATGGCTGCTGGTGCTGATTATTGGTGGGTTACCTGTGGTGCCGTTATTGGTCATGCGCTTTGCACTGCCGGTGCAGTCATAGGTGGACGAGCGATCGCTGGCAAAGTCAGCATCCGAGTTGGTATGAATATCCCTCTAGTCTCTATAACGTGTGTATCAATTCGGCTTCTAACATGTTCTCATAGTCACCTTTGGTGGTGCCATCTGCTTCATCATCTTCGGCCTTCTCTACCTTTTCGAATCTATATATTAAGCCCGGCCACCTGTCGTCACAGGCCAAACACATATCCTTCGCACTCATGAATTATTACTCTTCCATAATTTATTTCCTCTTCATCTATTTCATATCTCGTACTTTTTCTCCCTCACGAACTGATTATATGCTTCAGGAATCCCTTTATACATCTCACTTTCCTTCCCGTCTATATCAAATATCTTAATGGCGTACCATCCATTCTTATTGTCGTCTCTTTTTCATTCATTTCTCATAGCTCTTGTTTGAACTCTTGTCTCCATGGTTGGTTCTCCTGTACTCTTATTTTTGTTTCTTGGTTTTTTTTTTTTTTTTTTTTTTTTTTTTTTTTTTTTTTGGGCTACTTAGCATGCATTCCTCGCTCTCCTACCTTACAACCCTATTTCTCTTTATGGCCCTCCCAATATCAATATGTTATAGGCCAGGCCGGATATACCAGCGTGATTGCTTTTCCTCTCCGACTTTTTGTCTACCAAATCTTTCCGGTATTTTTTGCTGATGTTTCCCCAAAGGCTAGGTTATCAAAAGATAGATGGATATGGTTCCCCCCCCTTTCCTTTTTACAATTATTATGAAAACAGGTTGGATACCGCTACCCTTATATGCTAATTGAATAAGATACTGTTAATCCATGCAGTTGATGTGTTGTCAAGTCGGAGTGAAATTGACGGGCCCCTCTGTGTTGGCATTTTGAGCAAACACCAATATTGGCATTCCGATATTGGTTTCTTCCATGTTCCACTTCTCACCTTGATATCAACGGAGGATGCCGTTTATTTTATCGCTCCTGATTCCTACTAGTGTCCTGCTAACTAGTAGGGGCTAAGCAGACATCAACTGCCCAACTCCTTTTCACCGAGATATCTACTCGACCAATTCCCCTTCACCCGTTACCACCAACAGACAACAACCATGGCACAGCTTGAAGTCCCCAAACAGCGCTCCTCTGGAAGTCCCAAGAAGAAGGCAGAATACAGCAAGGAATTTCCCTCTTTCTCGTCTTCTTTCTCATCCTCAAGTTCCTCCTCCTCCCTCGATATACCTATCATCTTCAGCGTGTTTTATGGCAGGCCTCAGCGCGCCCCAACTTCTCACTCAACGTCTTCAACGCCTTCCCATCCGCTTAAACACGTCTCGTTTGAGAGCAAAGTCAACGCTGCTTTCATCGAACACGCTCGAAAGAAGGCCGAAGAGCCACGAGGCCGAATATGGGAGCGCCGCAAGCATCGACGGGACTGTGATTCAATTCAGTTCAAAGAGATAGCGACCCTAGCAAGTACACACCATGACCAGATATTGGAGCTGTGGGGAAGCAAACAATGTGCGGTCTGCGATAATCAGCCAGCAGCAGCTGTCCTTTATTTGCCTATCTGCTGCACCTATGATGGGTATTATACTCTCGCAGATGGAGACAGGTTGTTTGGGCTGATGCTATCGATTGCAAAGCTCGTAGAAGAGCTTGACTCAGATGTCAAAGTGCGTTCGGCCATCGGAAGCAACGTTCATATGCCATACATCAACGGATTAGCAGTGCCGGTATGCTCAGCGGAGGACAACTGTCGAAAGGAGGCCAACTTGGAGGTTGCGAGGTTTCTAAAGGCTTTTGGATTCGATGATACCCCAGCTCCAGAAGAAATAAAAACTGATGATAATGACTATGATAGCGACGAAAGCGCAAAGGACGAGCAGAACCGCTCGGCTGGGCCGCTCCTGCACCGTCGGTCGACTTGTAGCTCCAAATTCGCCACGGACATGGCTATGTTCCGGGATGCACTCGAGGCAGATGAATGGGAAGACGACGACGTTACTGATAGCGGTGATGAGGCTGTTCCAAGCGAGCCACCTGTTCCTAGTATTCCAGGTCACAGTCCCACGAGAATGCACCTGCACGAGCGAGTTCCATTACGCTACACGGTATTATGCGGCCAGCCGATACTGAACCGGAGTCAAGGCGCAACAGCGACTGAGGTCGATGCCGGCCGTCTAACATGTCTCGTGTTTACTTCTCGATGGGAAGCCGGGCTTCTAGAGTCAGTTGCAAATGCTAGCCACGATCCAGAGCCTTTTCAGATGATAGCATCTTTCCACGAACGATTCATCATGGCATCCGCTGAATTCCGTTGTTGTATTTGTCCGAAGCGTGTGTTGGCAACGACGTTGGTTCACTGTCCGATCTCCTTTAGACGTGATGCTGAAAATTCTCCTTGTAACCAACCCCATCGACAGTCTATGATTAGGCTACTACAGTATACGAAAGGGAAGTGGAACTACCCCGAGACAAAGGCAGCGTTAGGATACGACGGCGTCTGGCATATTGACGACTTCGTTGTGCCAATATGCCACGGCGGTTCTGTATGCGAGGAAACGGCGAGGATTGCAGCGGCGCAGTTCATTGACGGGATACTCGCAACGGGTGATAAAAGATGTTATACTGGTCTAATGCCGGACACCGACCTCCTTGGGGCATTCTGGGTTGAAAATGGAGGCAAAATACCAAAGTTAGTAGTGGAAAGGATAGGATTGGGCCTGTTTACTGACTCACGTAGTCGGAGGAGCCCTGGAGCAGAAGTAATATTAAAGAATAAGCAGGCTATCGAAGCTATCAGGCGCTCTGTTAAGGCCAAGCGAGATAGCATCAGCTCACCGGAAGGGTCTGTGGCCTTCGTTCCTAATGACAATAATAATATAGATAACGACAACCATCCACGACCTCCCGAAAAACTGAATGAAGAGCTTATCCAGGATGGAGGAAAGACCTACACGTATTCCCTTGAGGACGAGGATGCGATGTGTTTCGCTGAGGCAGAGGAAGGGGGTATACCGACTTGGGGTGGATACCCGCTCAGTGAGGAATCAGCCAAGCTGGTGGACGCAGGCCTGCATGAGTCTGCGTTGATGAAGCCTATGATTACGATGGAGGTGCTTAAGACGTTGGAGACTACGAAGGAGTTTATCAAGGGGCGTTATAGTCTACAAGAAGGTGAGGATGAAGCTGATGACGAAGTTGAGGAAGTGGATTCAATGACAGACAAAATGAATTCTTGATGATATACGGGGTCTCCTGTATTCGAACGCATACGAATGAGCCATAGCATATTCACCTCCATGATCATAAGCAAAGCGAATAGATATCTTTTCCATTTTTTTCCCCTTTCCCTCGTGCCTTTTTGAATATCCAATCAAGTAAAATACATACCATCACCGTAGTTATATACAAGGGTTAAAACGGATTAAACCGACACTTAAATGCCAATGCCAGTCCATGACATACAATGCACAGCGGAAGACAACAAGATAGCAGCGATGAAATTAACAACATTAATCCAAGGCCCTGAAAATATCAGAGAGGTCCTGCTTGCTAAAGGCCGAGCCTGGAAGAGTAAGGTCGAGAACAGGTGGGTGTTCGGATACAACTTTTATGGCCGGGGGGGCCTCGGGCGAAGACGGAGGAGATGGGGTAGAACCAGCCGAAGTGGCTGATATTGGGGCAACCGCAGCAGCTCGGGCAGAGGTAGCAGTCACAGGTGGGCGCGGAAGGCGAGGAAATGGGAGGTTGGAGCCAGGAAGCGTCGGGTAGGACGGTCCTGGATCGGGACGCTGATGGGCCTCGATTATGACCCTAGTTACCGCCCGGTGGACGCCAGGGCGATATCCTGCGGGGCCCTTGTGCGGCAAAATAGGCCCGTCCAGTCCTTCGATGACCCTGAGCGGGTGTACACTATCAACTGGAGGAGCAAGCTTCTTGAGAGTAGGGAGAGAATCATTCTCTTCTTCATCAGAGGCAGCCTTCATGGACTTGTCAGGAGTAGACTCCCCAGCTGCTTCCTCTCCCGGTGTCTCATCATAGGCCCGCTCCTCTCTATTTTTATTCTTCTTCTTCCTGTTGAAGAGACGATTGGAGAGTTTGCGGAATGGGGCACTTATGGACAAGTTGATACCCTCAAGAGCCTCTACATTGAAGATCTCGTCGATGTCACGGGCGCGCGTCATCTTGATATAGGCTAATCTTTGTATGTTTTCGATGTGATTGTTCTTTGGAAACTCCGCTCTTGATACCAAGTAGGTAGTCTAGGGTATATCTTAATAGACGAAGTTTAGGTGGTATCAGTCATACTTGCGAGAAACAAACGAAAGATGAAAGGAGAATGAAGGAGGTCAGGTTGAAAATTACAGGAGAAGAGGAATTTTATAAATCCCTTCTCCTCGCCCATGATGGATGTTGTCATAACGAGCCATGAGATGGTGCCATAGCTAGTATCCAATGCTCCTAAGAAAAAAGTCGATGACATCTTTAAGCGCGTATTTCCTGGGAGCGAAAAGGGGGGGCGCTGGATAGAACCATGGTAGAGCATCGATGCATAATATGCAATGAGGCTCAACTTTGTAAGCTCTTTCTCTGCATATTGCATAACATCTAGCACCTGGTTCAACTTCTCCATGGCAGCGTTCAGATTTCTCTGGGAAGACCTGGTAAACTGAACACAATCTGTGCAAGAGCGTCCATATCGACTGCACCAGCCACTTGATGGCTTTTCCCGGTGTCTTTTCAGCAGCATGAAGTCGTGGACGTCATGTTAGGGTATAAGTTTTAGCCATGGGCGGAACCATGGGCTTCACACGTAAACTTTGGTACCGTCTCACATAATCGAGTAGTTTAACTGTATAAACAACAACTTTTTATATAGATGAGACAGTTAGTGACGATTGCGACTATGTCGGCGGCATATAAGGTTGCAGCGTAGCTAAACAGATGTGAAAAAGATAAGGGAGGGAAGGATGATGATATCGATCCCGAAATCAGTTCCCCATAGTCACCTCGTGCAAGCTGGTATGATATCATAGGCTGCCTCTTCACCGTGCGCAGCACTAGCATCAAAACTGAAACAGCCTTCATGTTGATTGTGTATCTCTGTTATCGCGAGATGCTCAGTCAGTTATTGCTTTTGGGAGCTGTTTTCCATAACTTGGGGACAATGGGACTCCCGATAGCTAATTAGATGAACATAACCCGTCCAGCTGAGCAGGTGGAGGTGTACATCCCCCACAAATTGCTACATGCCCAGAAGCCTGAACACTCCACACCCGGAGGGCTAAATAATCAGACAACAAGAAGCGTTATCGTGAGTCTCGTAAAAACCAGGTTGATCGCAGCGGCCGCCACCAAACCTCGCAAACCTCGCGGTCCCGGTGGCCGCCACGAACGCGGATCTCAGCTGCACCCGTCGGCTCTGCTTCCTCTCAAACACGACCAACTCTAACTGGCGTCCAGCAGACGGAAGGAACAAGAACTAAGCTTGTCGATCGAAGCAACAGCCCTTTCACTCCTTTTCGCAGCGTTAGCCAACGTCCCATGCGTTCCCTGGGGGTCCCTAACGCCCTTGGCGACGACATAAAAAGCGCTGTTAAGGCTGCTCGAGCACTGCATGGTGACGTTATGATATCATCGGACAGGTCGCCATTGGGCAACGAGCGGCTGGTGGAGGGCAGCCATCCGGGTTCCCATGTGCAGCGGCCGTCTCCAGCGTCGTCTCTTTTGTCTTGAAGTGGCCTCGAAGCGGAGCCGGGGAGCAGAGATAGCGAGGGCAGAGGAGAGACATTTTCACGGTGGCCGGTGGCCACCAGCATCCACGCGTGCGTCCTCCTGCGCCAAGGGGCAGGGAGGGGACGCCCGATACGTCAACTCTCGATTCCCGGGCCACGAGCAGCGCAAGCCACCTGCGAGGAGCTGTAGCCGTAGTCGTAACCGCAATTCGAGCTGCTAGCTCGTCAACTATCTCGCGGGTGTTGTCTGGAGAAGCTGAGGTGAGGTTGGAAAAAGCAGCGCGAGTGACTTCCGAGGTACTTCCGCTTTGGGCTAAGGCTGGCGGGAGCGGGAGGTACTGACTAAGTCGCGGGTCACATGGCCGGCGTTTTTTTTGGGTCCAGCAGCCGCCAGCGAACGACGACCGGCCTTCACGACGGACGGAGACGGGACAGCAGCATATAAAGGATGGCCTCGTCTGCTCTGACACCGTCCCTGGCCTTCGTGCGTGCTACTGACAGCTGCAGACAGCGCAGGAGTCTCCGTATGTGAGTTTTCTAGCGGCCGTGTTTGCTCTTTGCCTCCCTTGCTTGAAGGATCCTACAACTACGCCTCCCTCCCCCGTCCCCAAAACGAGCTTCGACCGCGCCAGACGAGAGCTGGTAGTCCGGATCAGTGGACATATCACGAGGCTGGAAGGTCATTTCTACAGCACGGAGTATATATTATTGCCTGCCACTTGACGGTGCAGCAGACACGAAGAGCCGGTCCTCTCGTACTGTACACCACCTACCCATATAACGGTTCTAGTTGATACGGGATGGACAGAGATAGCCAGAGAGTTCAGATGGCGGCAGAGGTGCAAGCAGGGGCTTCTCCCGCTCAATCGGATCTCAGCAAGGAAGAGGAGGCGGCTCCAAAACCCGGAGGCATCAAGTGGACAAGGTATCTCGGCCTAAAGGGCAAGGATTCGCAGGCCCTGGAGGAGAGATGGGCTCACCGGGAGAAATGGTCGATGGGCATCCTCAGTGATAAACACACCGATGAAGTGCCAGGTACGTCTACTGTTTCCTTGTCCTTGATGCTGATGGCAATTTCTGACACGCTAGACAGGAACCATCTTGCTGCTCGCTGCAAAGAGAAATGAGCCGCTCGGCCTTCGAAATGCACCGGCTCGGACCTCCGCTACATCCCTTCCTTCACCATACCCTCCATCCAGAGGCTCCTCACGCGGCCCTGCACCGCCCAAAAAGCGGACTGCGGATGGAGCTATAGTCCTGGATCCTCAGCCGGAGGAGTCCATGAATGACCCTCTCAACTGGCCGGTGTGGCGGCGAGACCTTGCTATGCTTTGCCTGGGCTTCTACTGCATGCTTGGAGGCGGTATGACGCCTATCCTGGCCGCTGCATACAACGAAGTCTCGGCAGAGTACAGCATAAGCTTCCACAAGGTCGCCTTGACCACCGGACTCTACATGCTGGGTCTCGGGCTCGGCTCGGTCGTCATGTCGCCTACCGCCATTTTATACGGTAAACGTCCGGTTTACATTGCCGGAGCCACCATGTTTATCATTTCTGCAGTCTGGTGTGCTGTTTCTCCTTCATATGTCAGCCTTGTTATTGCCCGCATCTTCCAGGGTTTAGCCGTTAGCCCGGTCGAATGTCTCCCATCCGCCACCATTGCAGAGATCTATTTCTTACATGAACGTGCATACCGAGTCGGAGTATATACATTACTGCTTTTGGGAGGAAAGAATCTGATTCCTCTTGTCAGTGCTGCAATCACAAACAGCCTAGGATGGCGTTGGATTTTTTGGTATGTCTTGCTTTTTTCCATTCTTCCTGCTATCATGGACGCATAAACTAACGTCCATAGGATGGTTGCTATCACCACTGGATTCAGTGCAATCCTGGTGTTCCTTTTTGTCCCCGAGACCTTTTGGGACAGGACTCCACGTCCTCGTGCGAAGAGACCTCATATGCGAAGGAGCGTGTCTGACATTGTACATACCCTTCGAGGTCGGTCTTCACAACCTGTCACTCCTGGTGCGGTAACACCTAGCGCTGTGACTCCTGGAATAGAGGAAGTAGACAGGCAGCTGGGCGCCGTTACACCACGGAAGCATAAAAACGCCCATGTTGGCTTCGCTGAAGATGAAAAGGCGGAGATTGAGAAGGATACCCCCGAAGTAATGGCTGAAAAGGATACCGCACAATCTCCCATTCCCGCCATAGTGATTGATCCCGAGGCCCAGCGGTCCATTCCAGCTTCCAGAGACCAGACAGACCCCACTGTCCAACTATCTCAACAGCAGATTTACACCAGTAATCTGCGTGCCAAACCACAAGTCAGCTTCATTCAGTCGCTGAAGCCATGGAACGGCAGAATTGCCAAAGATAACTGGTTCCGCGTCATGGCCCGCCCACTTATCCTCTTTGCCTATCCTGCCGTCCTCTGGTCGTCCATGGTCTATGCTCTCTCAGTCGGATGGCTCATCGTCCTTTCAGAGTCGGTGGCAGAGATCTACGCCAAACGTGATACCTACAACTTCACCCCATTGCAAGTCGGATTGGTATATATTTCCCCTTTCGTCGCCGGTATTTTAGGCACCATTGTGGCCGGAAGAGTGTCGGATGTCATTGTTCGATTCATGTCCCGTCGAAATGGGGGCGTTTACGAACCCGAATTTCGTCTCGTAATGGGCCTTCCAAGTACACTAGCAACTACCATTGGCCTAATGGGCTTTGGATGGAGTGCCCAGGAGAAAGATAACTGGATTGTGCCCACTGTCTTCTTCGGTATCTTGTCTTTTGGCTGCACTCTTGGTAGTACCACATCAATTACCTACTGCGTGGACAGCTATCGTCAATATGCCGGTGAGGCCCTGGTGACGCTGAACTTCAGCAAAAGTAAGTCTTATTCCGCTTCACCTTTTTTTTCAAACTGACTAATTGTTACCAGACGTTCTTCATGGATTCGTTTTCTCTCTCTTTTTCGTCCAGTGGCTCCAAGCTGACGGAGCTAAAGATGTCTTCGTTGCATTGGGTGGCATACATCTTGCATTGATGCTGTTCACGATTCCCCTCTATATCTACGGCAAACGAGCCCGCATGTGGACCGTCAGAAAGCATTTGATGGAGAAGTTTTAGACTCCGTTTCACCTGGTTATGTTCCTGAGCGTTGTTGTGGCTGGTGGTTTTACATTTACGTTCTCATATTGCCTCTTACGATACCTGCTTCTTATAGCAAGCGAGTTTGATGTTTCTGGTGGAGTGTTATGTTTGAAGAATTTACGATCCTTATTATTTTTCGATGACGTTGGATATGCACATATTTGCATCTATATATGCGCTGCTTTCTTCGTTTTTAACGGGAGTTATATTTTGTTTTGGCAACCCATCTATCAGAATGCTTACCAACCCCTACCTCCTATTTTATCTGGTTTTCTTAATTCTATCAGATAGAAGAAAATATCAAATACGTCAAAGTAAAGGCGTAAAGACCGAAATCACCACCGCTTGCTGGCCATACATTTAAGAATCACTCGCCCTAATACTTCTCAATCAACCAGTTTCGCCGTTTGGTCTCGCTCATACTGTTGAGCAACCTCTGCTCTCCTTGTCGAACAGCGATGTATCGTTTAACAAAGACCTTGCCCAATAGCTCCTGGAGCTCAGTATCAGCCTTCAAGGCCGCAATACTCTCATCGGTGGACGTGGGCATGACAGTAGTTATTCCCAACTCCTTGCGCCCGTCATCATTCAAGTCCATAGGATCAACTACAGTTACATACCCCAATTAGCTACGTGCATCCATTTTTTGAATGAAAGGTGATCGGATACAAACATACCATTGCAAGCTTTGACTTTCAGTTCCATCCGGTTCTTCAAGCCCAGATATCCCGCACCAATAACTGCTGCCATAGCCAGGTACGGGTTCGACATACCGTCCATGGACTTTATTTCCCAGTGCCCATTGCTGATTTTTCGGATAGGAGTTTCGCGATTTTGGTCTCCCCATGCAACCCATATGCC